CTAATGATCCCACCTGCAGACCGGGTAACCTGGGACAAGTCACCTCCCTTCTCAGGCCCAATCACCTCCTCCCTCAACTGAGGCAGCAGGACAGACGCCTCGAAGACTCATCCCGCACTAACTACCCAGTGCCAGTCCACCTGGCAGAACCCGCGGAAGAGGGGGGCGTGGTGTGTCAGCGAAGGCTTAGATTGCAGAACCAAGTGCTGATGAGTCTTGAGAGACACGTGCAGGATCTCAAGGCGAGAGAAAAAGGAGGGGCGTCGGGGATGGAGGAAGGGGCGGACGCGGCACATCCGGGCCAAGCCTGTGGCCCCCACTGCCCCAGGGCACCCAGAACTCACAAGCCCCGGGGGAGCCCAATCGGAGCAGCCGGTCCTGCCTTCCAGCCCAGCCTCTCGACCCCCGCAAAGCGGTCAAACCTTCCCAGTCGCTCTGTCGTGGGGTCTGGCACGGGCTCCCCAAGCCCTGCTCTCCGAGGGGCGCAGGATCAACAGCCGCCTGGAGGCCGCAGACGCACCACCTACCTCGTCGGGACTCGCTGACCGGCCCCGGGCTCCCCAAGCTCCGGCCGGGGGCTGCTGCTCCGCCGCGTTCCTCTCGCTGAGTCCCTCCTCTCCGCCTCCCGAGGCCGCTGCGGGCGAGGAGATGGCTTTGGGCCTACAGGACAAGCTCCCTTCAGGCCAGCGTCCCTCCCAGGACTTCACAGGTCCGCGCACAGCAGACGATCGGGCCCGAGCCCCGCCGCTTCTTCGCCGCCGCCGCCACCTGTCCAGCCTCTCCGATCCAGCCCGAGGGCTCTGGGGCTCGAGCTTGAGAGTCCCCGCTCCAGCCTCCTCCCGGCCCGCGAGAACCCTCGCGCGCACAGCCCGCTCCCGCTGGACGCCGACCCGGCCGGACGGCGTTCCAGCCCCGCAGGCCGCGGAATGTCCGCCTGCCGGAGGCCAGAGCCTGGGAACGAGGGTGAGTGGTGACCCAGGCAGCGACAGGAAGCGACAGCGGCACCGAGGCGGTACGCGTGCGCGAACACGCACACCGGACGAGGCGCTCCAGCGCTGGAGGACGCCGGAAGTCCGCCTGCCAGAGCCCGCCCCCGGGAACCGGGCAAATACCGGGACTCTATTTCCCAGAAGTCTCCACGCCCCATGAAGTTAAGGGAACGTCTTAAGTGTCTTCACCTCATCAGGTTGTGAAGAGGTGCTGTGTTGAGAGGATGGGCCTCTTGGCCGCGGGAATCAAATTTCCTTTTAATTTAAGGGAATGTCTGTAATGTCACCGCTTCTTCAGGCATCTTGCCTTTTATGTCATGGTGCCCTAATATTTTCCTTGTGCATGTTCAGTTGTTCAATCGTGTCCGACTCTTCGCGACCCTATGGACGGTAACCTGACAGGTTCCTCTGTCCATGGAATTTTTCAGGCAAAAATACAGGAATGGGTTGCCGTTTCCTCCTCCAAAGGATCTTCCCCAACCCAGGAACTGAATTCACCTCTCTTGTATTGGCAGGCAGATTCTTTAGCACAAAGCCATAATATTTTCCTGAGTGTTTTAAGTCTTAAATGTCCACAGACAACTGTGGTAACTAAGGGAAGGGGGTTATCATGTCTGCTTCTGGTCGTTTGTGAGATATCTAATTAAAGTGTTAGTAAACAGAGCTTAGCAATAACAGAGTATTAGTCTAGGATACCTTCTTTTCCCTTCTAGGGAAGAAGAAATCTAGCTTTTCCAAGTCATTAAAAATATATATATATATATATATTTAGTCGGGTGCCCTGGGTATTAGTTGCAGCACACGGGACTAAATCTTTGGTGTGATATCCAGACTCTTAGTTGCAACATTTGGGATCTAGTTCCCTGACCAAGGATTAAACCCCAGGCCTCCTGCATTGAGAGAGCAAAGTCTCCTGGTCTCCTGCCTGGAGGTTAATGGTGTTCATTTCAAATTACCAAGAGATGAAAAGAATGTCCATGAACTGATGACTTACCCCATAACTGGCTCTTCAGCATGTAGCCCCTTCCTCTACTTGCTTTACATTCCTCGAGCAAAACCTGGGGAGGGGTGAGCTGGTTTTTTGGGACGTGAAGCCAACTTCTCCGCAGGGTTGCCGGCTTCCTCAATAAAGCTGTTTTTCCTTTTACCCAGCAATTGTCTCTTGGTATTGAATTTTTTAATGATGTGAGATCTGCCTCATCTTCTATTGCTTTTTCTACATGGAAAATAATTCAGGACTATTTTTCAGAGTTAAGAAATGTGGTTAGATAATCACCACACCATTAAGCAACATAACATCTCATTTGACTGCAAACAAGCAAACCAAACTGGTAATGACCACACACATCATGACTGTGAGAAGAGTTTCATCTTTATTATATTTCCCTAAAAGCTACACAGCATTATCCTCTTCAATAATCTAAAATTACATACAAACATCTCAAGACAAGTTTAAAAAAATTACAGCTGAATTTCCACAATTGAATAATAAGAACTTTAGAAGTTAAAATTTATGTTTACAAAAATTAGGAGGAATAACCTACCTAGCTACAAGTAGAATCGATATATTATGTAAATATAATAGATTAAAAACACAAAAACCTCTTGAAAATGTATACAAATTTGTATTTACCTATACACAACAACTATAATATCCATCACAAAACTGTAGGAATAACATGTTTTCAAAACATGTTATTTAAAGTAGATATATAAAAATAAATACAATAATTTTATAGGCAACATTCTCAAAATAAGCCAGTGATAATGATGGCAAACTTTAAGTCATCTATCATGATGCTATGGCTCTAATTTTATATTTTAAAGTAATTCCTTCCTATTCCAAGCCCCTACATTTCACCTTCAAATGAATCTAGACTAGGGCAAATAAGTGTATAAAAATGGGGCCTCCAACATCTATCTCAGGGGAGATTTGAATTAATCTGAAAATTGGGGTGGTGCCTTAGGAAAGAAGAGAACCTGAAAAAAACCCTGATTTCTTATTGTCCCGCCAAAGATTCCTGGAAGCACACTCTGCTCCTAGGAGCATGACCGAAAACTCTCTTCAGTTCATTCTAAAAGATGCTGGGTTCTTTCCCATTATCTGCACAGAGGCTTCTCGTGTCCTTCCTTGTGGCTGTCATCAGTGTCTGGATTGACTTTCTCTTGAAAATCCGCATCTTCTCTGGGTGATCTGGAAGTGAGAGAGCTAGGGTGTTAGATTTCAAAGCGGTGACTCTCCAGATATAAAGATTATTTACGGGCATTCCTGCCGGCTCAGTAGTAAAGAATCCACCTGCCAACACAGGGGACATGGGTTTGATCCCTGATCTGGGAGGATCCCACATGCCAAGGAGCGACTAAGCCATACGCCACAACTGCTGAAGCCCGAGCGCCCTAGAGCCTGAGCGCCACAACGAGAGAAGTGGCTGCAATGAGAAGACACACACTGCAACTAGAGAAAAGCCCTCACAGCAACAAAGAACCAGCACGGACAAAAATAAATAACTAAATAAAAGCATTACAGAAAGATTATTTACATTCTCAGTCAATTCTAACCAGAGTTTAGGCTAATTAATAATCCCGGTTTTATCTCAAACTCTCCATTCTAAACCCCAATCCTGAACCAGTGTTTTCAAGTGTGATTCTTGGACTTTGGTGACCCCGACTGCAGAAATGACTGAATACGCCTAAGGTCAGGCCCAGGAATTTGCTTTATGGCCAAGATTCTAGGTGATTCTGCTCAGGGAGTTGACACTCAGAGAATGCTGCTGTAGCCTTAACTCACCTTGGTCCTTTCGCACCACTTAAAATCTGAACTTTCAACCATCCTACAAACATTATGAAAAAGTCAACACTATGAATCATAAGACCGGATGCCTGATCCCTAACCCTAAGCCTGAATCCTAATGTTTAAATAATACTTACTCCTAAACTCGGTTAGTGTTACGGTCTGAATGTTGTGTCCCCCTAAAATTCTTATGTTGAAATCATAAGCCTTAAGGTGATGGTACTGCACTTCCTGGGTGGCTCAGACCTTGAAGAATCCACCTGCAGTGCAGGAAACCCAGGTTCCACCCCTGGGTCAGGAAGATCCCCTGGAGAAGGGAATGGCTACCCACTCCAGTGTTTTTGCCTGAGAAATCCCATGGACAAAAGACCCTGGTGGGCTATAGTCCATAGGGTCTCAAAGAGTTGGACATGACAGAGAAATTAATCTACAGCAAGGTGATGATATTTGCAGGTGGGGTCTTTGAGAGGTTACTAAGTCATGGGGTAGAGTCCCCATGAATGAGATTACTGCCATTATAAAAGGACCTGTGTTTTTTGTTGTTTTTAACCCGAAGTCAGTCTGTAGTATTTTTTTTTTTTTTGGCCGCACTGCACAGCTCAAGGAACTTCCCCAGTCAGGGGCTGAACTCACGTGCCCTGTATTGAAAGCACAGAGTCTTAACCACTAGACCTCCAGGGAATATCTCCAGTCTGTAGTATTTTGTTAGGGAAACTTGAATGGATTAAGACAGTTAGTTTACAACTTAAACCAAACCTTTGCTTAATTCTCTGCCCACATCTATAACTCTATTGGTCGATCGTAATAAGCCAGGCTGAAGATAGCATTCCTTAATTTTCACTGGTTCTGATAAACTCCCTTGACCATAAACTTGAGGTGGGAAGCAAGAGGGAGTAGCTGGTCCAGGAGTGGTGAGTCAGAGGAAATAACCACAGGTGATCTGGTGATAAGGAATTTGAAAGTAAATTTGGATGAAAATAAAGCTAGTCATAGTTTCTCTTTTATCATTGACCATGTAGGCTGTTCTGTCTAACATCCTATTTGTAGACATTGATTTTGTGGAAGATAAATTTTTTTTTTTTAGATAAATTCTAAGTCACTATCCCAGAGGGATGAAGGGCCACAGATGAATTAAAAAGAGGAACTCAAAACACAATATATGGAAAAAATTGGAAACTTTTGCTTTTCACAAAAAACAATATCCCATCAAGTTATTTGGACCCCATTGTTTTGGGTGAAATGATTGCAGCTAAACCCATGCCTCTGTGACAAGTAGTTTTCCATGAGGCCTGGCACCCACGGACCCCACTGTACTGTGTCTGTGTGTGGTGGTCAGGCTGTGGCCGGGAACTGAGTCAGCATCTGGCTGTATGCCCAGCTGACCTGAGTCACAGGTTGGAAGGTGATGGCAGTCCACAGTTGGAATCCTCAATGAACAACACATTATTCTGCCCACATCTACGAGGACATAGACCTACCTTTCCTCAGGCCGGTGATCTCAGGCCCTCGTGGTCCTGGGGGGCCCCCTAGGGCAAGAGGGCACGATCTCGATCCCACACCCAGAGTCTCGGGTGAATAGCTTGGATCTGGAAAGATGAACAGCCCCTTGAAATGACGGTGCCTCTCCAAATTGACCCTTCTCCTCCCCTTGTTCAGCCTCCAATTCTTTCCCCCAATCCCCATGACCCCTCCTCTCCTCACCACCCCCACTTCCAAGCCCCCACAGCCCACCCACCTTCTCACACTCTTCCTGGGTGACCCTCATCTTCCAGTTCATGGAACAGATGAATTGGAAAAGCAGTTTGTGGAACAAGGGACGCTGGGAGTGGTTCCTTCCATAGAGGAACGAAAAGATGATCTGTTTGGGGGCGTGGTGGTCCTCTTCCATCTTACTGGCCAGGTAGCTGAAAAGACATCAGGTGGCTGTCAGGAGCAGAACAGGAAGGGCTTTCGCCTGAGGTCAGCTTTCTAGAAAGGATACGGGCTGAGCATCTTCACACAACCTGTCCGGCCCTCCCCAGCATCCCCGGTCATCAAAGAGCCACTGCTGGGCGGGACCTTCAGAAGGGCATCTCTCACGCCTTGTTGATGAGGACAAAATCCCAACCTCTGTTCCTTTCCGTTGGTTTTATGTGCACACACCTGGCTCCCTAGGTTGAAGGTACATGTACAGTTCCTGAGAGCTGGAGCTGATCTGTCTACTTCTGCATTCATGCCTTTCCTACCAAATGATGTGTTTAGGGCTTGCTCTTATGTTGATGCATTAATTCAGCAGCCCTTCTTGAGTCTGTCTTCCCATCACCTCATATTCCCCAGCACATTGTTGTTGTTTAGTCATTGTGCCTGACTTTTTGTGACCCCATGGACTGTAGCCTCCAAGGCTCCTCTGTCTAGGAGATTTCCCCGGCAAGAATACTGGAGTGGGTTGCCATTTCCTTCTCCCAGGGATCTTCCTGACCCAGGGATCAAACCCAAATCTCCTGCATTGGAGGTGGATTCTTCACCACTGAACCACCGGGGAAGCCCCACCCACATAGGGTGCCCTTCATAAGGTTTCATCGAATGAGTGAAAGAATGTTTTATAGCCAAATGCAATACAGATTACCTTGGAGACTCACTATAACAAACTGTTGGAAAATGAAAAGAATTGTGCTGAAGAAAATACCAATGGGTATTTTGACAAGAACTGGATTAGTGTAACAGGATTGGGGAAAGGGGAGGTGAGAGAAGAAATTATTATAATGCAAAACATCACATTATAATAGGATTTTAAGGAAAGTGTTAGTAGGATGTAGAAGTTAGGGATCTCTTCATATTCATTGTGAAGGTTTTGGTGTTTGAACTCAATTTAAGGATAAGGTCATTTTCTTTGGATAAATGTGTATGGGAAAGATATCTGGAAAGAAAGTATATGAATATAAAATATAAAATAGAGGGAAGGGCATTTGAAGGGAACAGTGAAACAAAGGAATAAAGAATCAGGACAGTTAGCAAGTGTGATGGAGACTGTCGAGAGGGCTGACTTCCAACCCTGAACTCTGGCCTTGATTTTGGTGAGTAATTAGCCAATGAACACAGGTCAGACCTGTGTCTTTGGAAGAACATTTGGGCAAATAAAGCTGACTGGCTTGGGAGAGACTTGGAAGAAGCATCAGTGTGGAGGGTTTTATACCAGATTTGAGTTGTGTAGTGAGGACCCCAATCGTGGCCTTTTGTCGTGGGAACCCAGAAATGGAATATGGTCACACTTGGTACTGATGTGGGAAGGAGTGAGACAGAAGAATTCAAACCGGAAATGGAACTCTCAAGCCTGTTTACTTGGGGGCAGGACGGTGTCAGCTCTTTCTTCCTCTCCTTTTAGCAGGGTTTCTTTGTTTCCTTCAGTCTTTTGACTGATATTAGGGTTGTTTGTTTTGACAACAGTATAAAAAACATACTTCATATATATATACGGGTCATATATAGATATGATTATTTACTTTTATCTAGTTTGTTTCACTGTTTCTATTTCATATTCAGTCTTCCCATTTCATTTAGTTTATGTTTTCCAATTTCTCCGTATCTTTTTTTATGTTCTTTCTCAAGACTTTATCAAGCGTAGTAGAAAAGCTTTTGTATACATACATACATATAAATTATATGTATATATATCTTAGAAAACTTACAAATTTTGGCCTAACTAAAAAATTTATGACATTTTGACTATACTTGTTTGACTTAGCATGAATAGAATGCTATATTTCTAATTAAAAAAAATAAGCAACAAGAAACAAAGATTTCTGTATAGTACAGGTGTGGACACTGGCTTCCAGTCCATGGGGTCACAGAGTTGGACACGACTGAGCGACTAACACAGGGAACTATAGTCAAAATACCTTGGAATAACCTATAGTAGAAAATAATCTGAAAAGAATATGTGTATATGTATAACTGAATAAACTTGCTGTGTACCTGAAACATGGTAAGTCAACTGCACTTTAATAAAATATATATATAAAGAAAAAAAATACTTCAATTCAAAAAGAAACCACTCCACTATAATCCTGTCATTTTCACACACAGAATAAACAGTACAAATAGGTTTTTTTTTTTTTTTTTAAAAAAAGATGAAAGGGACGAGCCCCATACCTCTCCCTCCACCCTCCCAGGGTGCTGAGCACTGATGGGAAGATGGAGCAAGCTACTTACAGAGCTATGAAGAAATGGATCCTCTGGTATTGCCAGGAGAAGAGGCCAGCTCGGCTGAAATAAGCGATCACCATCGCCAGGAGATACTGAGGGACAAAAAGAAAAAACAGAGAGAGGTCACATCCCAGAAGAGGAAAAACAGAGAAGGGAGTGGTATGACTTCCCAGGTGGCGCAGTGGGAAAGAACCCACCCGCCAATGCAGGGGACTCGGGCTCCATCCCCGGCTTGGGAAGATCCCCGAGAGATGGAAATGGCGACCCACTCCAGTAATCTTATCTGGGAAATGCCCTGGACAGAGGAGCCTGGTGGGCTACAGTCCGTGGGGTCGCAAAAGAGTCAGCATGTCTTAGCGACTAGACAACCACAAAGAGTGGGAGGTGGGGACGGGGTGGTGCCCCTCGGAGAAGAGCCCCCGCCCCGTGTTGGGGGAGCTTGATTATTTTGGGGGAGGAAAGGACGAAAAGTCCATGATGTTCCCAGGACAGGGGCTGTGGGTTTGAGGGCAGCCAGCACTGGGTGGTTTTTGATGAGCTGGAGCAAAAATGAGTCTCCTCTGAGCACAGTGGGGGCTTAGGTGACCACCACCAAGTGAGCTTGCCTAGGGCCCAGACCCCAGAGGACACCTCCAGGCCCCCAGAGGGAGTTGCTGACAAGGCATCAGGGTGGAGAGGGGAGTGGAAATGTGGGTTTAGCGACTACCCTCACTCCACCCCGCCCCGGGACAGGTGCTGGAGCAGAAATCCCTCTCAGTGATGACTCACCTTGTCGGATACCTTCAGGTTTCTGTCCCAGGCCAGGAATCTCTTAATGACATGATCCTCTGTGAAAAGAGGGCACGTTAGACAATAGGAACGGGGCTGCCGGGAGAACATTCCAGAGCAAAGAGGGAGAATGGTGCCCCCAGTGGGGAAATTCTGGGATGTGGCCCAGGGTCAGGGGAGGGAAGACTTTTCACTGGACAAGGAAAGGGGCTGACTTCCCTTCTAGGGGCGGCAAATGAGAGGGGCTGGTGCCCCTTCGTCATGCATGCACATACCCCTGTAGAGGCCATCAAATTATCACAATTTCTTACCCGACAGTCACGTCAGGCATGTAGATTCCAACAGCCTAGATTCAGTCAGGGCTAAGAATTCTCAGGGGTGCAGCTACCAAGTTAACCTAATCATACAGGACTATCATCTCCAAGACTGACCTCCGCTGGGCTGTGCTCAGCGGCTTCAGTCGTGCCCGACTCTGCGACCCCGTGGACTGTAGCCCACCAGGTCTGTCCATGGGATTCTCCAGGCAGGAATACTGGAGTGGGTAGCCTTTCTCTTCTCCAGGGGATCTTCCCGACCCAGGGATCGAACCTGCATCTCTTGCACTGCAGGCGGAGTCTTTAATGCTGAGCCATCAGTATCATTTCTGAGTTTAATCTAATCCTGCCTCATTCCTAAGTGCCCCTGATGAGTGATCAGTGCCGAGTCCCCCAGGGACTGGGAGCTCATCAGCTAGCAGGGAATTCTTCTCGCTCGGAAAAACGTAGTCATTGCAAGTTTTTTTTTTTTTTTCAGTTATAGAACAGGAGGTTGCGGGGCTGATGGGGAAGGGTCCTTACCAAGCATCCTGTTGAAGACCACGTGGTGTTCAGGCAGCACCACGAGCACCTGCTGTTTCTTCAGCCTTATCCTAAGCCCACTCAGCGACTTCACGATCCAGCTGTCCTGGGCCTCGTCCTCCGCCTCTGCTCCGAATGCCGCTGACCACTTCCTCTTAGAGCCGGGGCGCCAAGGCAGGGAGCTGGAGCTGGCCCAGAGGGCTAAGTAAGGAAAAGAGGCTACGATATGAAGCTTTTGTCTTTGGAATCCAACCACCGGGTTCCCCACTCCCATCCCCAACTCTCCCCATCCAGCCTCTCCAGTCTCATAGATTGTTGTCCTTTCCATCTTTCTCTGTTGATATTCATCTACCCCTCCCCCCATTTTTTTGGGCCATTTTTCCAGCTTCCGATCCTGAAAATCTTTTCTTCATGGCAGATAATTTCTCCCACTGTGTTGTTCAGTCGCCAAGTCACGTCTCTCTGTGACCCCATGGACTGTGGTCCATGACACTGCTCTGCCCGTGGGATTTCCAGGCAAGAACACAGGAGTGGACCCAAGCCTCTTGCATTGGCAGGCGAATTCTTTACCACCGACTCACCAGAGAAGCAATTTCTCCCACTCGGGGAAAAAAAAAGGAACCTTCCTTTTGTTTCCCCTCTTCCTTTCTTTCATCCTTGGATCTCAGGTCCTAACCTCCTTTCTTGCTTCCCAGGTTTTCTGTGTCTCCAGCTCCTGTCCTTTCCTCCCCAAGTCTCCGGTTTTCTGAACATCTCCTTCCTTCCATACCTTATACAGGAGCTCCTTCCTGACCTCTGTGTTAACCCCCAGAAATTCCTTCTCGTGCCCAGCTCCCTCACCTGAGGAGCCTGGGATTTCTTCACTGACGATCACCTCCATGGGGAGCCCTGAAGAGCTGGACTGGGGGCTCTGGTCCTCAAACTGGGAATTCAGGCGACAACTGGCCATGATTTCTCCCGAACTCTTCTTCCACGCAACCTAGACTCAGTTCTGTCTCAGCTCTTCTGGATCCTGGCCAAACGCAAGCGTGATGTCCCTTCTTCAAGCTGAGGATGAACTGGGAGTGGAGGACGCTCTGGGGAGATACTGGTGTCCACCTCCGCCGTCGAGCACCATAGGAGTCTGCTCTTCCAATCAGGAAGGTCAGAAGCCTCTGATGTCACTGGTCATTCCAATCTGGCAACCAGCTTGAAGAAAATCACAAGTAACGGTTTGACCGAGGTGTCCACTTCTCCCAGAGATTGAGGGGAAATTGTATTTCCTGCCACTGACCCAACTCCTGACCACTCTCCAAAGCCATCCTTCAGGCGTTGGATTCCCTGTTTATCCCTTCCCAGCAGGTTTGCCCTTTTAAAGGTACGAGTGAGTGGCATCAAACACTCAAGCTGCTGTGCGACCATTGCCAGTGTCATCTCCAAAATGTGTTCATCTTCCCAAACTGAAACTTTGTCCCCGTTAAACACTAACTCCCCATCCTCCTCCCCCAGCTCCTGGCATCCATCCTTCTACTTTCTGTCTCTGAATCTGACCCCTCTAGGGAGTTCATAGAAGTGGAATTGTATAACATTTGTCCATTTGTATCTGGCTGATTCACTTAGTGTAACATCTTCAAGGTTCAGATGTGTGGTAGCCTAAACCAAAATTTCCTTCTTAGACCCCCAAAGCCAGTGTGGATGGTACACAGTGAGCAAGAAGGAAAGAAAACCCTGGATCTGAAGATGTTCAGATGTATCCTAAGTGCAATGGGAAACCAGTGAAGGAGAGGAGCCGCGGTCCAATCTGCATCGAAAGGGAAAAAATTAATGTCACTTGCTGTATTAATGGATGGGGTGGAGGGAATTCCCTAGTGGTCCAGTGATTAGGACTCTGTGCTCTCACTGCTGAGGTCCTGGGTTCAATCCCTCGACAGGGAACTAAGACCCCACAAGATGTGAAAAAATGGGGTGGAGATTCAGTAAGAGTTGGAACTAGGGAGACCCGGATGTGGTTAGGAGTTGGGGGGTGGGTAAGTCCCGAACGGGGATGTCTGAAAAGACGGAGAGAAGTAATCAGGTTCCAGGCATCTGGAGGAAGAGCCAGCAGGTCTCATCAGGGGGTTAGATGTGGGGGAGGCCGGGGGGGCTGTAGTCCTGTGTCCTCTGTGTTCTCGTGCATGCGTATGCCTCTTCTGCACGCATGCAGGCTAAGTCACTTTAGTTGTGTCTGACTCTCTGCACCACTATGGACTGCAACCCACCAGGCTCCTCTGTCCATGGGATTCTCCAGGCAAGAATACTGGAGTGGGTTGCCATGCCCTCCCTCCTGACCCAGGGATTGAACCCGCATCTCTTACATCTCTTGCATTGGCAGGCAGGTTCTTTACTGCTATGGCCACCTGGGAAGCCCCTTATGCCTCTACTGCTGAAACTTGTTTCCGCAGAGAAATACTAACTTTTCCTCTTAAAAGTGGAATTACTGAATTTTCCCCATGTATAAAAAAAAAGAAATATCAAATAATAAATAAATAAATGCTGTCTGTATAGATTTTTAAAATTTCCTTCCCTTTTATGGATTAATTGTATCAACATACACACTACATTTCTTTATCTATTCATCTGTCAACGAACACTTGGCTTGTTTCGCAACTTCGGCTCTGAGCCCTGCTTTTGAATTACTGTTTGGACTTTGATGAGAAGTACCTCTGTTGTTCAGGGTGTGCCCAAAGTTTTATTTTGTATTTTGATCACTTACATGTTTCTAGTTGGTCATCTAGAGTCAGAGCAGTTCATCCAAGGTGCGGAGACCGTCTCTCTGGGTTGCTCTCCATGACTTTCTGAGATGAACTAGGTCTCAGAGGCCCTGCAAACCACCTCTGAGGTCCTCCCCAGCTGCTACTGGACTGGTTCTTCTCGTGTGGGCACTTCTGGGAAAGCACTGCTGCTTGAGGACCTGTGTCCTTCTGCTGTGGACGCTCGTTCAATTGTTAGGAGGCAAATGAGTTCAGGTTTGCATTCATCAGTCTTTCTACTGTCAGTGCTGATTGGGTCTCTTCATAACAAAACAGAAATTCACTCTTTCTTCCAGTTAACAAGCTTTCAAATATTAGAAGTTTGGTTTTCTGTCTTCCTGAAAGTGTCTCTTATGAACAACAAAATACCTTGATTGTTTAATCTAATCTTCAAATCTGGATTTGCATAATCCAATCTTCCCCTGTCCACATTGCCCAATCGGGCTACAATTGTGTGGGGTCTGTTGCTATGTTGACTAAAAATGGCATAAACAACCCAGATTGAATCTGCTGCTGTAATTAAGCTCGACCTCAGGGTCTTCTGGGATGAATTCTCCTGTCTTCCCCTGCATCTTGTCTTTAGAAAATTTTAGCCTCCTTGCCCTTCTCCAAGTTCCAAAGAGTAAATCTAATCAAAGAAGTGAGAACATGCATAAAGAAAGGAAAACAGCCAAAAAGAGACAAAATAATAATAGTTTAGCCATTAAACAAAGTCAGCATCCTTTTTCCTCCTCAAGGGGTATAGATAATATTCTGGGCCAAGACCTGTGAGCTGTTTCGCAGATACTGAAAACCCCATAAGGTGGAAGAAGTCACAAGCATATAGACCGCAGACCAGTAGGAACCAGAAGGTTAATGATGTTGACTCCCGGTTGCCTCAACACCAGCCAATCAGAGGAAGGTCCACCAGCTGATCACACAGCCCCACAACCACCCCTCCCCCACTCTTCTTCCTTCACTTAAATGCTTTTTAAATTTTATATTGGAGTATAGTTGATTTATAATGTTGTCTTAGTTTCAGTTATGCATTTATGTATATCTATTCTTTTTTTCACATTATTTTCCCCTTTAGGTTAATACAGAATTTTTTTCCCTATGCTGTGCAGCTTGTGAAATTTCAGTTCTCTGACCAGGGACTGAACCTGGGCCACAGTGGTGAAAGCCTGGAATCCTAACCACTAGGCCACCAGGAAACTCTCTAGGTTATTACAGAATATTGTGTAGAGTTCCCTGTGCTATAGGTCCTTGAGGATTGTCTATTTTTTTGGCCTCACCATGTGGCATACAGAAATTGTAGTTCCCTGACCAGGGATCAAACCCACACCTCCTGCACTGGGAGTGAAGAGTCTTAACCACTGGACTACTGGGAAAGTCCCGATTGTCCATTTTATATGTCGTAGTGTGTATATGTTAACCCCAAACTCCTAATTTTTCTCTCTACCCCTCACATTTCCCCTTTGGTAACCATAAATTTGTTTTCTATGTCTGTGAGTCCATTTCGTTTTGTAAATAAGATCATTTGTATCATTTTTTAAGATTCTACACAGAAGTGATATCATATTGTATTTGTCTTTCCCTTTCTGACTTACCTGACTTAGTATTATGATATCTAGCTCCACCCATGGTGCTGCAAGTGGCATTGTTTCATTCCTTTTTAGGTTTTGTAACATTTCATTGTGTATATGTACCACATCAACTTCATCCATTCACCTGTTGATGGACACATAAGTTGCTTCCACATCTTGGCTACTGTAAATAATACTGCTGTGAACATGGAGGTGCACTTATCTTTTGAGGTATGGGTTTCTCCTGATATATGCCCAGGAGTGGGATTGCTGGATCACACAGTAGCTCTATTTTCAGTTTTTTAAGGACCTTCCACACTATTCTCCATAGTGGCTGCACCTTATATTCCTACCAACAGCCACACCCCATCTTTAAAAACTCTTCCCTGAAAATCACGGGGAGAGTTGGGGCCTATTGACCACTAGCTGCTTGGACTCCTTGCTTGTCACCTTGTTCTACTTTCCTTCCTCACGTCCCAGTGTCAGGAGACTGGCTTTACTGTGTGCATGTGAGCAGACTCAAGTTTGGTTCAGTAACAGTGTATTCAAGGGGGGAAAGCAAAACTATCACTTCTCCTCTTCTCTCTCCCTCCTGTGAATGCAGTTTAAGATAACTATACTGCAGAAATTTCAGCAGTGTGAAACGAAAGTGGTTTGTCAGTACAATCCTTTCAGCTGAGAATCACATGGAGAAAATAATAAACAGATGCCAGGACCCAGGCTCACAGATTCTAATTCCATAGCACTGAGCTAGAGCCTAATTTGAACTTTCTTGTTGACATGCTTCTGATGGAAATCTCTGGGTGGGATGAGCTGCCCAGGCTGGTGCAATTGCTGTTCAGTCCCTAAGTTGTGTCCAACTCTTTGCGACCCCAAGGACTGGAGCCCACCAGGTTCTGCTGTTCACGAGATTCTCCAGGCAAGAATACTGGAAAGGGTTGCCATTTTCTTCTCTAGCGGATCTTCCCAGATCAGAGATCCAACCCACCTCTCCTGCATTGGCAGGCAGGTTGTTTACTACTAAGCCACCAGGGAAGCCCCGCTGGTACAGTAGGAAGTCCTAAAGAAAGCACGTCACCATCAAATGAAATAAGCAGGAAGGGATGAACCGTGACCTAGACCCTAACACGGCAGGGTTGTGGCCAAGCCATGGGTCCAGGGCCGAGCCAGCCTCTAGTCCTCCTGCCGACAGGTCCACGACAACCCCTCAAGCAGATTTGTGCTGCTGTGGATAAGCAGACCCAGGATCGGAGTTCCTGCTGAGCACCTACCTGGTACCTACCTCGTACCCACCTAGTGTATATGTAGTGAAGACACTGTCCCCTCCACCTGCAGCAGATCTTCCCCTACAGCTCTTGAAGAGACCCACTGCTGCTGACGCCTTAATTTGGATTTGCAAACTGTGGAACTGTCAGACAATTCATTTCTGTTGTTTAAGCCCACTGGTTTGGCATACTTTGTGACGCAGCCAAAAAAAAACCTGCCACAACCAGGATTTTGTTGTTGTTTGTTTGTTTATTTATTTATTTTGCTTTGTTTTTACTTTGGCTGTGCTGGGTCTTCATTGCAGCTCAAGGGGGCTTTTAGTTGTGGCACGTGGGCTGGAAGTTTGCCAGGCTCAAGCTCAGAGCACTGAACTGCACCACTGTTGATGTCATTTATGATGTTGTGGGAGTGGCAGCCATCAACATCGCAGCCCACAGACTGGGCAATCCCCAGGATCTCTTTAATGGTTTCAGAGTTCTCTAGCTAGAGATGGATGACGCATCTACCTGGCAATGTTGACCATCTCATTAAAACCAATGTTTCTACTGTGTCTAGTGTTTTTCTGCTTCTTTCTGTCTCTTGGCAGTTCCTTGAGGGCTTTAGCAGTTCCATAAGAAGTAGAAGGTACCACTCAATCTGGGCCTATCTGCTCTGAATGATCAGTTTCATTGTATCCTCAGACCCTTCCAATCGCCAGTTACCTTGGTGATGTTATCACCAACCTCTTTTGGAGACAGACCCTGGGGCCAGTCTTGGGGGCCAGGGCAGACGTGGTGCTGACCTCCCCACTATGCAACTCACTATATGACTCTGATCTCGCTGGTGTTGAACTTAGGCAGCATGGTGGAGGCAGCTGGTGTCAAATCAACCCGGATTTCTGATGACCCAAGGAAGTAGCATCTTTGCCTCCTCCAAGCCAAAAATGTTGTCAAGTTTTTTCACAGAAGACAAATTACTGTTATCTTAAACATGTATGTAATGGATTCTATCTCCTGAACTATATAAAAAGTTGAGGTTCATCTCATTTACACAAACATTAGTGGTTCCCTTGTGATGCACAACACCGTCTGCTTTTTTTTTTTTTTATCAGTCCCATAGCATGCCAGATCTTAATTCCTCCAGGAGAGACTGAACCTGAGCCCCCGAGTGTTTGGAGGGCAGAGTCTTAACTACTGGCCCACCAGGGAAGTCCCACAGCCTTCTTTCATGGTTATTCAACAATAAAACTGTTTTCTTTATTTCCACATCTGGGAATAGGATTTTCTGGATTTGCAGATTTTATTTTTAATTTTACCCACACCAGCTTTTGAGAAGTAACTGGTCAAGAACACAGTTACATGATTTCACCCCCAAAATATAGTGATAAATCATTGTTCTTATGATTCCATTTTTGAAAAATGACATTTTTATCTAACATAAACAATATCCTGTTTAAAAGGTAAGATCGCAGATATCCATTTTCTTTTTTCAATTTGTATGTACCTTCTGATTTTTCTATTGTTTTTAATGCATTGATTGTGTAATCTAGAAAAGCAACAATTTCTATTCTCTGTTCCTTCCTTGGAGCAACCATATGCCCATGATTAATATTATTTTATATCATGGCTGAACATTTATTGTATCCTAGCATTTTAATGAAACATAGTATTTCAACGGTTAGAACTGGACATGAAAAAACAGACTGGTTCCAAATAGGAAAAGGAGTATGTCAAGGTTGTATATTGCCAGCCTGCTTATTTAACTTATATGCAGAGTATATCACGAAAAATGCTGGACTGGATTAAGCACAAGCTGGAATCAAGATTGCCTGGAGAAATATCAATAACCTCAGATACGCAGATGACACCAGCCTTATGGCAGAAAGTGAAGAACTAAAGAGCCTCTTGATGAAAGTGAAAGAGGAGAGTGAAAACGTTGGCTTAAAACTCAACATTCAGAAAACTAAGATCATGGCATCTGGTCCCATCACTTCATGGCAAATAGATGGGGAAACAATGGAAACAGTGAGAGACTTTATTTTGGGGGGCTCCAAAATCACTGCAGATGGTGACTGCAGCCATGAAACTAAAAAACACTTGATCCTTGGAAGAAAAGCTATGACCAACCTAGACAGCATATTAAAAAGTAGAGACATTACTTTACCAACAAAGATCGGTCTAGTCAAAGCTATGGTTTTTCCAGTGGTCATGTATGGATGTGAGAGTTGGACTATAATGAAAGCTGAGCACAGAAGAATTGATGCTTTTGAACTGTGGTGTTGGAGAAGACTCTTGAGAGTCCCTTGGACTGCAAGGATATCCAACCAGTCAATCCTAGGGAAAATCAGTCCTGAATATTTGTTGGAAAAACTGATGCTGAAGCTGAAACTCCAATACTTTCACCACCTGATGGGAAGAACTGATTCATTGGAAAAGACCCTGATGCTGGGAAAGATTGAAGGCAGGAGGAGAAGGGGACAACAGAGGATGAGATGCTGCTGCTGCTGCCGCTAAGTCGCTTCAATCATATGTGACTCTTTGTGACTCTATAGACAGGAGCCCACCAGGCTCCTCTGTCCCTAGGATTCTTCAGGCAAGAATACTGGAGTGGATTGCCATTTCCTTCTCCAGTGCATGCACGCATGCTAAGTTGCGTCAGTCGTGTCTGATTCTTTGCAAGCCTATGGATAGCAGCCCACCAGGCTCCTCTGTCCACAGGATTCTCCAGGCAGGAATACTGGAGTGGGTTGCCATTTCCTTCTCCTGAGGATGAGATGGTTGGATGGCATCACCGACTCGATGGACCTGAGTTTGAGCAATCTCCGGGAGTTGGTGATGGACAGGGAAGTCTGGCATGCTGCAGTCCGTGGGGTGGCAAAGAGTCAGACAGGACTGAGCGACTGAACTGAACTGTTAGTATTTCGGTTAAAGAAATGGCAACCCACTCCAGTATTCTTGCCTGAAGAATCCCATGGACAGTGGAGCAGGCTGCACTGCCCATGGGGTCGCAAGAGTGGGACACGACTTAGCCACTAAACCACCACCACCACCAAACAGGATAAACTCCTTCTCCTCTGGTTCGTCGGAGATCCTCAGATCTAACCTAAAATACCTCTGGGCAAGGAAAGGACCAGGGATCCAAGAGGCAATCACACAGGACCCCACCTGAGGTCATATCTTTCCTTGATCCCTTACAAGAGTGAAGACAAATGGGATGTTGATTCCCTGGTTCAGAGGGTCCATCCTCTCAGCACAACATTGCTTCACCTCCAGAGGAGGTGGAGACATTTCAGAGGTTCCCTAACTTCACGGCGCGGAGACTTCTGGGAAACAGAGTCTTGCTATTTGTCCGGGTCCCGGAGGCGGGCCCCGGTGCCCGGACTTCCGGCGTCCCCCTGCGTTGGGACTCCGCGGTCTGTGTGCGTGTTCGCGCACGCGCACCGGCGCTGTCGCTTCCTGTCGCTGGCCCGGTCACCGCTTGCCCTAGTTCCCAGGCTTTGGCCTCCGGCGGGCGGGGATTCCGGGGCCTGCGGGGCTGGAACGCCGTCCGGCAGGGCCGGCATCCAGCGGACGGGGGCTGTGCACGCGAGGGTTCTCGCGGGCCGGGCGGAGGTTGGAGCCGAGACCCCGGAGCCCTTGGGCTGGGTCGGAGAGGTCGGGAGGGCGGCGGCGACGGCTAAGGAGCGGCGGGGCCCTGTCCGGACCGTCTGCAGCACATGAGACGGTGAAGCCTCGGGAACGACGTTGGCCTGAAGGGAGTTTGTCCCGTAGGCCCAGAGCTGGCTCCTCGGGCCCAGCGGCCTCTGGTGGCGGAGAGGAGGGACTCGGCGAGAGCAGCGCGCCTGAGGAGCAGCTCCCGGACGTAGCCTGGGGAGCCCGGGGCCAGTCAGCGAGTCCCGACGAGGTAGGTGGTGCGTCTGTGGCCTCCAGGCGGCTGTTGATCTTGCGCCCCTCGGAGAGCAGGGCTTGGGGAGCCCGCTCCGGACCCCACGAGAGAGCGACTGGGAAGGTTTGACCGCTTTGCGGGGGTTGAGGGGCCGGGCTGGAGGGCAGGACCGGCTGCTCCGATTGGCCTCCCCCGGGGCTTGTGAGTTCTGGGTGTCTTGGGGCAGTGGGGGTCCAGGCTTGGCCCGGACGTGCTGCGTCCACCCCTCCTTCCATCCCCGAGGCTCCTCCTCCTCTTCCTCTCGCCTTGTTGCGATCCTGCACGTGTCTCTCAAGACTCATCAGCACTTGGTTCTGTAATCTAAGCCTTCGCTGACACGCCACGCCCCCCTCCTCCGCGGGTTCTGCCGGGTGGACTGGCACCGGGTAGTTAGTGCGGGATGAGTCTTCGAGGCGCCTGTCCTGCTGCCTCAGTTGAGGGAGGAGGTGATTGGGCCTGAGAAGGGAGGTGACTTGTCCCAGTCACTGGGTCTGCAGATGGGATCGTTAGCAAGATCAGACTCCTAGGGCAAGTGCTTTGTCAGTTTCTTAATAAGAGTTCTTATTTGAGCATTGCGATTAAGTTTGTACAAATAATTGAAAGGCTGAGCCGCGCCTGAGTGTATCGCGTTACTCAGAGCATCCTCTGGATTTTCTGATCTTAACAGAGTTAGTAAGAAAACTGTAACTGTTTATTTTTATTATTTTATATTTAATGATGGAAGTTTATTTTAATAGGATTCGATGTTCATCCACTGATGAAAAAGTATTTTCCCCGCAGTACCGTAATCACGTGGGAGTTATAGGCCTGTGAGTGGGTACTCAGTCTTTGTTCTTCCAAGCCCTACTGGAAAGTGAAAGGGCGGGTTTCCCACAAGTGTCTAGTGAAGTGCTGGGCAGGGCTTGTTCACACTAGCTCTTCCTGGGTTGCTTCACTACCTGCATTTCCTCCTTCAGGTCCGCCTCGGCTTTCACAGTGCTGCAGGTTGTTCCAAGAGCAGCGGAAAATGAATCAATCTCTGGTGAGTTTTGCTGTTTACTTATTTACTCCCTACTCTGCTTTGTAGGCTTACCTCATGGCTCAGATTGTAACGAATCTGCCTGCAATGTAGGAGACCCGGGTTCAGTCCTTGGGTCAAGAAGATCCCCTGGAGAAGGAATGGCAACCCACTCCAGTATTCTTGCCTGGAGAATTCCATGAATAGAGAAGCGTGGATTGACTCCAAAGAATGGCTAACACTTTCACTGATTTGTAATAACATTTTAGGAGGCCCAATAGCTTGGAATTTAAAATGGAAAAGTAGGAATAGGTGAAAGATAGGGTTAGACAAAGCATAGAGAGCAGGTCAGCACCAAGTGTTTCTGGCAAGTTCTATGTGTAGATCCCAGGATCCTCCAGAGTTCTTAAAGCCACAGAACAAGCCTCAAGTTCTTGACATTCATTGCAAAAAATTACAAACACCATCTATTGCTTGCCTTACATTGTCCTTCCCAAACACTTTTATCCCTGAGTGTTAAAGGTTTTCTTGATATGATATGTGGTTGGGGGTGGGTGGGGGAATCAAGTCAGTGGGACTTGAGGCTCCAGCTGGATGGCAGACAGGCAAGGGGGAGGCCTCAGTGAGTTCCCACTGCTGCTGGTCCTGGGCCCGTTAGTAGTGCACGTCCATACCCTTGGGTTTTTTCTTAGTCATGAGTGAGGTTGAGAACATTCAATAGGTTTAGAAGCTGTTTCTTCTTTTTAATTAATAGACTTTTTAGAACAGTTTTAGGTTTGTGGGGAAATTGAGCTGACAGTAGAGAGTTCCCTATAACTGTCCCCCTTGGTTTCCTCCGATGTTATCATCTCACACTTGTGTGGTGCATCCTCTGAATTGTTGATACCTTATTATCACCTGGAGTCCATAGTTTATATTAGGGGTCACTCTGTGTGTTCAGGTCTTGACAAATGTGTAGTGAATGGCCTGCAGCCACCAATGAAGTACAGTATACGACTGCTTTGCTGCCAGAAACAATCCTGGGCACCTCCTGTTTGTCTCTCCCTCTGCCCCCAGCCCCCAACAGCTGCTCATCTTATTACTGTCAATGTATTTTTGTCTTTTACAGAATGTCACGTAGTTGGGATTGTACGGTATGTGGTCTTTTCAGACTGGTGTGCTTCTCTTTTTATATGAAGGGCCTGTTCTTGTCCACAGTCCATCTTCCTGTCTCAGTACTGATTTGTTTTGCTTCTCTTATTGACTAACAGAGTAGCCTTAAGTATTTATAAATGTTTCCAGTTGGAGTCATGTTAGTGAGCATTGTTTTCCAAGTTTTTTTTTTGTCTTTTTACTTGATTTTCCAGCAATAGCATATAATTCTTTAATTTTTTTCATTTTGAGAGGCTGAATAGTATTCATTTAAAAAAATGTCTCAAAAACTTCTCAAAATCACAGGATTCCTAGTCTTATCAACGCAAGTGGATAAGAGCACCCTCCTTGGTCAGTACTGAAGTACAACTTCTTTCAAGGAGGTGGGAGGAATTCATTGGTCTTCTTTTCTGGTTCTTACTTTCTCTTTCTGGTTCTGGGCACTGCGTCAGCCACTCTCTCGCACTTGGTTAAGACTTTTAATGTGTGAACGTGTGGACCCCCCAGTTCTCAGGGGGCGGACACAGGTATGTCTGGTGATGTCTGGATGGAGTATGGGCTTGCTCTCTGAGACAGGCTTCTCCAGGCGAGACCAGGGCAGTGCTGCACAGGCCTCTGTCTGCCTTGGGCAGTGCCTGCTTCTACTGGCGTGTCCCGTCGAGAGCGGAGCACCTTCAGCCTCGGCAGACCAGCAAAGTCGGGGCCCCGTCACCTCTGCATGTGGAGCCCGGGGCCAGGGGCCATCCTGCCTCTTCGATTGTTCCACGTGAAGAACTTTGATTTTCAGTCAACATCAGGAGTTCATCGTTTTCTCTGATAGGCCCTGAGCGTGACGAGGTCGTTTCCTTAACCTCCTCCTAAACACTCCAGTCTCCATGTTCTGTTGAGAGCTCCTGCTGCTGCTAAGTCGCGTCAGTCGTGTCCAACTCTGTGCGACCCCATAGACGGCAGCCCACCAGGCTCCACCATCCCTGGGATTCTCCAGGCAAGAATACTAGAGTGGGTTGCTGTTGCCTTCTCCGTCTGTTGAGAGCACCTGAACCTTATTGGTTTTAACACACTGGCACTGTTTTGTAATCTTTTCTGGTCAATTGCATAAATTTAACAGACCCATTACGTTTAGTTATTTAAGTTTACTTCTGTGTTTTCTGATTCATTCTGATTTGCAGAGTGATGAGATACACAGTAGATAAACAACAGTAATAGCAGGTATTGAAAAGCATGTTATGTCCAAAGAACTGTGTTAAGTGCTTTCCATGAAAGAACCTGTTTGGTACTGATCTGTATCATGTGACAGGCACCATTATTGTCTCTATTCTAGAGGTGACGGTACAGGAGGAAACAGGCTGTAATGACTGTGTGAGTGTGAGTGTTTGTGAATTTACTCAGAAGATCCGCACTCACAGGTCTGGGTGTGGCAGTTTCCGGTTCTGTTGTGCGCTCTGTGCCCCTCATCAGGAGTAAGTGAGCTCCTTCCCTGGAAGGTATTGGGGGATGAAGGGATTCCAAGTCCCTGGCTGGGCATTAGGGTGGGATGAACCAAGCTATTTCCAGTAGTTTGGGGAGCAGGCTGGGGTCAGGTCGAGGCAGGCTTATCTCTGTAGTGAAATACGGAACTGGGATGTGCTGCCTGGCTTGCTCATCGCCTTGGTAACTGTGGTGAATACTACAGCTCGGTTCCTTCTGTGAGCTGTAGGAGGAGCTCAGGGCAGGAACAGAAGAGAAGCTTGGGCTGGTGATACACATTGGGAAATGTTGAAATGTAGAAGGTTATTCATGCCTGGAGAATCCCCATGGACAGAGGAACCTGGGAGTCTACAGTTCATGGGGTCGCAAAGAGTTGGACACGACTGAGTGACTAAATGCAGCACGGCACAGCACAGGTTATTAAAGCCATGAGGCAAGATGGGATCACCATCAGAGCAAAGGGTACAAGAAAAGAACCGAGCCCCAGGGCCCTGTGATGCCTTGAGGATGACTCAGAGGAGAGGAGGACCAGGGAAGGAGCGGCAGGAGAGGACAGAGGAGAACCAGCCAACGTCATTAATGCTCTGGGAGCAGAATGAAGGAGTGCAGTGCCTCTTGGGTTTTCACACTGCCCTCAGGCCTGTGCTCCTTGAGGGCACAGGCACTGTCTGCTGGTCTTGTCCTCAGGACTGTTCTGGCTCACAGTGTAAGGCTGTATTTTCTTTTTTTCCTGTACATTGAGCAAACTCATGGCAGTGTTTAATATTTACTTTCCTTCCATAAGGCCCATAACATAGAAAAGGTACACAGTGTACGTTTGACCAGTGAGCTTGGTAAGCTCTGTCCCCGTGTATCTGCTCCATGTCACCCAGTCCCCACTATGGTGCCGTTACAGGGGTCAGTGTCATTCAGGGACGTGGCCGTGGACTTCACGCAGGAAGAGTGGCAGCACCTAGACCCTGAGCAGAAGACGACCTACAGGGATGTGATGCTGGAGAACTACAGCCACCTCATCTCTGTGGGTGAGGAGAGAGAGAAACTAGATTTCCCTCTAACTTAATGATTTTAACGTTGAACTTGTGGGCTTCCCAGGCAGCACAGTGGTAAAAGAATCCACCTGCCAATGCAGGAGATGTAAGAGATTCAGGTTCAATCTTACAAAACTGAATTGGGTTGGGAAGATCCCCTGGAGTAGGAAATGGAAACCCACTGCAGTATTCTTGCTTGGAAAGTCCCATGGACAGAGGAACCTGGCAGTCTGCAGTCCATGGGGTTGCCTAGAGTCAGCTGACCGAGCATATACACACACAGACACACGCACTTTAAACTTGATGGAACAGCTGGAATCATCTGGGGTACCAGGTAGGCCATGTGGTCTCTATCCAGGTAGGTTCTGATTCTGGTACAGCACTAATGGCACTTCCGTCCTGTAGCTTGTAAGGCAGCCTTTTGCTTACATGGCAAATCTGGAAGCCCAGCAGCCAAGTTCAAGTTCTCTCTTGTATCTGTTAACAGGGTGTCACATCATCAAACCGGAAGTCATCACCAAATTGGAGCAAGGAGAAGAGCCGTGGGTGGTGGAAGGAGAATTCCTGCTTCACAGTCGCCCAGGTGTGTGAGGGGGTTGGCAGTAAGGAGGGTGGTCACTGAGGAGTGTTTTTCCCTGGAGCTTTTTAATAGTGCCAAACCTGAGAAGTGACTGAGGGTTGTTCTTGAACTCTGGCAACTCGAATCTCACTCCCTAAGGCTTTTTCCTTTCCCACAGCAGTTTGTGTTGGTAGAGCTTCCCACTCTGGCTTCTGCTGTGAACCAAAACCTGCTCGCTTCCTTCCTCCTCTTAAAACCCACAACTTCTTATGGCATTTTGTTGGCAGGCATATATATTGTCTGTCATTAGAGAATAACTCCTGACTCTCCGTGTTCTCATTAGTTTCCTTCTTTTTTCTTTCCCATGAAATGCCTCAGGCTTGTTTCTGTCCCTGGCTTCACGTCTCACTTCTCTTTCTTTGAGGTCAGAGTTCACACCCCCATCTTGTGCATAAACCAGTGAACTTAGTTCACCTGTGCTGTCCTGATCACAGGCACTGGTCATTCCTGCTGGAGTTTGGTGATAGCATTACAGGGTCTCCCTATTCCATCAGATGCTCACTTTCATCTTGTCTCTTACTTTCTGTTCTGTCGGCAGTACCTTGAATCATGTCTTGTCTAAGCAGGTGTTCAGTCAAGTAGGAGACAGAGAAATGAGTCCTGATTCATTTACCATCCCCACCCTGCCCCCTCCAGAAACATCCCTGAAGGGTCTGCCTCACCCTCTGGTGGTTTATTCCCCAAGTTCTTCAGAAGGTCCTCCCATCTCGGATATTTAAGGCTTTTATGTGTCTCATGCTGCTGTGTCTACCAGTTCCTGGTTCGGTGTTTCCTGAGAGAGCTGGAGGCGCTCCTACATTCTCATTGGATTTGCAAGATGTGTTCCCCTGACTTTTGAATCCATCTTATCACTCCTCTCACAGGATGAGCCTACAGCCATTCCCTGTTGATTCTTAAAGGCAGTTTAAATTCCTCTTCCTTTCAGAATCATACAATTTTATTCCTTTGTTGCCCGGAAATTTTAATTTTGTATTGTTTCCTGAAACTCTGGCTAAACTTCATTTGGTCCACACTTCTAAAGTCTCTTCTGTGTCACTGAGATATGGGTTATTTGTCCAGATTACACATTCTTTAAGTCTGAACTCAAGTATTCAACCCCTCCTTAAAGCTGTAAAACCCCTTTCAGCTGTAATCATCATACCAGTCTCTTCCTTCCCTCGACTTTGACTCCATCTCAGGGTGATGCTTTAGAAAAAAAATCAAGGTCTGATCAAGAAGTCTGTTGACTGTGTTTTTTGCTTGAGCTTCTCCACCCACCCTCCTCAAGTTTTGATAGATTCTGAGGAAACCTATCTTTTCTCAGGTTTTTGCCTCAGGAAAGATTGATTTTGAGTAGATCAAAGGCTGGAAGTCAGGCAAATTTAGTAAAACAACAGGAGCAGAGACTTGCAATGGAATATAAGCTGGGGCATAGTTGGTACCAGACCATCTCAATGTAGGTGGTGGCACCTTAGACTGTGCTCTGTGTCTCCACACAACATGAGGGGACTTGGTGTGAAGTGGAGACTTGCCTCTTGTGCACCGAGTCCTCCTGGTCCTTGTGCAGCAGCTAAGCTCATTGCTGCCCCGTCAGTTGACCTGTTTGCTCTGAGCCCTTTCATATCTAAAAATCAGGCATTTATCCAGCATCCTCTGTCTTCAGATCATTATTCCATGTTTTTATTTTACCTTCTGTACCCAGTTTTGAACAAAATTTTGAAATATCAATGTGTGCATGTACTCAGTCATGTCTGACTCTTTGCAACCCCATGGACTGCAGCCTGCCAGGCTCCTCTGTCCATGGGATTTCCCAGGTAAGCGTACTGGAGTGGGTTGCCATTTCCTTCTCCGGGGGATCTTCCTGACCCAGGAATCAGACCTGTATCTCCTGCACTGCAGGTGGATTCTTTACCACTTGTTTTTATCAGCTTTCTTCACCACTGGAGATTGTGGAGCTTGTGTGTATGCATGTGCATGTTTATTTCAAACCAAAATAATAAGGGGGAAAAACACACTTGGAATGGTTTTCACCTGTCCAAGAAGCTAGCACCTGTGCCACAATGAAATGGTTGTGTACAAGTCACATGTCGTTTCTTACCCAGGAAGTTGCATAAAAATTGGTTAATCTTGCCTCTTTTTAGAAGAAGTCTGGAAAGTTCATGATCTGATGGAGGGAAGCCAGGAAAATGAAGACAAACATTCAAGGCAAACTGAATCCATTAACAACAAAACCCTGCCTGAAGGGAGAGGTAATGGTCTTGGTAAGACTTGCAATGTGGAAACAAGCCCTGTTCCTTCAAGAAAAATATCCTATCAGTGTGACTCATGTGAAAAGAGTTTAAAGTCTATTTCAGAATATATTAGTAGTGATGGCAGCTATGCAAGAATGAAACCTGATGAATGTAGTGCTTGTGGGAGATCACTTCTCCATGTGAAGCTTGAAAAAACTCATCTCGGAGATAAACCTTATGAATTCAACCAAAATGGGGAGGCTTATGCTCTAAATGGAGAAAGTATTTATCAGAACATTCACATTTTGGAGAAACCCTTTGAATATATCGAATGCCAGAAAGCCTTTCAGAAGGATGCAGTGTTTGCTAACCACATAGAGGAGAAGCCCTACAAGTGGAACGAATCTGAAATAGCCTTTCTCCAAATGTCAAACCTCAGTGTGCACCCAACAAGTCATTTGGAAATGAAACCCTATGAGTGCAACGCATGTGGGAAATCCTTCTGTAAAAAGTCCAAGTTTATTATCCACCAGAGGACTCACACAGGAGAGAAACCTTATGAATGTAATCAGTGTGGGAAATCCTTCTGCCAGAAGGGCACCCTCACTGTCCATCAGCGAACACACACAGGGGAGAAGCCCTATGAATGTACCGAATGTGGGAAAACCTTCTATCAGAAGTTACACCTCATTCAACACCAGAGAACTCACTCAGGAGAGAAGCCCTATGAATGTAGCTACTGTGGAAAAGCCTTTTGCCAGAAGACACACCTCACACAGCACCAGAGAACACATTCGGGAGAGAGACCCTACGTCTGTCATGACTGTGGAAAAACCTTCTCCCAGAAGTCAGCCCTTAATGACCACCAGAAAATTCACACAGGCGTGAAACTCTACAAGTGCAACGAGTGTGGGAAGTGCTTCTGCCGCAAGTCGACCCTCACCACACACCAGAGGACACACACGGGAGAGAAGCCCTACGAGTGTAACGAGTGTGGGAAGTTCTTCTCTCGGCTGTCATATCTCACTGTGCACTACAGAACTCATTCAGGAGAGAAGCCCTATGAATGTAACGAGTGTGGGAAAACCTTCTACCTGAACTCAGCCCTCATGAGACACCAGAGAGTCCACACAGGAGAGAAGCCCTATGAGTGCAATGAGTGTGGAAAGTTATTCTCCCAGCTGTCGTACCTCACGATACATCACAGAACTCACTCAGGAGTGAAGCCCTACGAATGTAACGAATGTGGGAAGACCTTCTACCAGAATTCCGCCCTTTGTAGACACCGGAGGATACATAAAGGAGAGAAGCCCTATGAATGTTACATATGTGGGAAGTTCTTCTCACAGATGTCATACCTCACAATACATCACAGAATTCATTCAGGAGAGAAGCCTTACGAATGTAATGAATGTGGGAAAACCTTCTGCCAGAATTCAGCCCTTAACAGGCACCAGAGGACACACACAGGAGAGAAAGCCTATGAGTGCTATGAGTGTGGCAAATTCTTCTCTCAGATGTCATATCTCACTATACATCATCGAATTCATTCAGGAGAGAAACCTTTTGAATGTAATGAATGTGGAAAAGCCTTCTCTCGGATGTCATACCTCACTGTACATTACAGAACTCACTCAGGAGAGAAGCCATATGAATGTACTGAATGTGGGAAAAAATTCTACCACAAATCAGCCTTCAACAGCCATCAGAGAATTCACAGGAGAGGGAACATGAATGTACTTGATGTGGGAAGGCTTCTCTGAAGTCAGATCTCATAATGTCACAGAACCCTCTCCATATAATGAGTAAGGAACTCCTACCATCCCGAGTTGGAGAGTTCACACAGGTGGGTGTGGACAAACCTGTGAGTATTTGTCAGACCTGGAACCTGAAAGTTTGCAGGTTAGAAACCACAGCTATAACTAGGCCACATGACATGCTGACAGGAGTAAAAATCTATCAGTATTTAAATTGGACATAGTTTCACTATGAATTCAAACTTTTACATATCAGGGAATTCAGACCAAGGGGATATCTTTCAAGGAACGTGGAAAACATTCTGCTGGAAATTATGAAACTAAAATTTATGTTTCTGATAAAATGTCAAGCTTTTGTAAAAAAAAAAGAAAGAAACCAGAGAGGATGGACGTTTTGAATAAACATGCTCCTTATGTACATAGAAACTATAAAATCGTTGGGTAGCTAATTAAGATGGCAGCATGGCAACATTAAGCTCACACATGAGTGGATCCTGAGGGTGCAGGACTCATGCTCTTGAGGGTGTTTGGGTGTTTCTGTTTGTTTTTTAGGATGCTGCATTACAGGGGTTGTATGTTCGGCTTGAATCATGTTTGAAAAGGCATTGTATCCTTATTAGAATAATTTCTAAGGTATTTTAAATAGCACCACTATGCTAGCATCTAAATACATATAGATAATGAACTAATATTTGAAAGATATGAAGTATACTTCTCTTTGTGCTCTTCCCTGGCATTTATAAATGGATTTTATCATTGTTAATGAATTAAGTCTTCCATAAGGAAGCCAATGTTTTTAATAGTGTTTTAACTGTATCTGAATCAGCAAGATAAAAATCTGTGCATAAAATAGAAAATTGCATAGATAATTTAAAATGGTTAATGCCACAAGTCTCTGCAGTAAGGGACAGCTGTAGGACTCATTGCGATAAGTATGGTTTAAAAAATGTACTTAAAATAGTCTCATTTTAGTCTATTTTTTTCACTTACTGTTTTTTATTTAGATGCCTTTGTAAGTGTGCAGAGCACATGTACTATGTAACCTAGAAATTAACTGTATTTTTATTTGATACAGTGGTGTTCTTAAGCACCATAGTTTGTTCCTTCCTGAATGGATTGAGAGCAGGTTTGTACGGGTTGTAGCTGGTGTCGCTGAGTGACCAACCTAGTCACTCATTCCTTGTTTTTGGCTGTCTGAGTCTGGGTATCTATTCCTCTTGACAGAACAGGGGATAAATCCTGATTAGTTTCAACAAATAATGATAATCCCTTTCTCATCACCAGTAATTGGTTTAGAGTATTCGGAGGACCCCATTCTAGACAGGTAAAGGAAATATCTTGAGCAGGTTATTTCTGGAAAAGGTTTCTTCAAAGCTTCAAGGAATCATGCCAGGTGAAGTGGGATCCTGTTCAACGTTTCCTTGCCTGGCTGTGTCTTTCAACAACGGTTATAATTTGTGCATGGCAGAACAGAAAGACGGGAAGAACCTGGGACCTGGATGATGCTCTTGAGCCACTGAACCAGCCAGCTGTGTAGCCACTCTATCTCTGGACTGTTTCTTTTGTGAAAAACTGAATTGTAGATTGATTTAGGTTACTTCTAGTGATAACGAAAGATACAGAGCTTGTAGGAGTTATGCAATTGAGAAGTGGGCTTTAGGCAAATCACTTTTTTTGAGGTGTTGATACAGAGAAGATCTTATTTTCTGTAAATTTTGGTGTAAATATTACACTCAAATATTTGAGTATTAGAAAACTTGAAACAATTCAATGTGTATGTTTTCCTCAATTTTTACATTACTGACCTAAGAACTTTTGGAGCCTGATATGATGTCAGGTGTATCTTTCTTTCCATAATGCATGACATAAATTTTGATTTAGGTTAATTTATGTTATCCATGGATCATTGCTACCGTGCTGTTGATGATATATGGCTAAGGTAAGGACTCACTTTTGTTTCTTTTCCAGTGATTAGCCTGATAGCCTGTATTATTTGAGTCATCCACCCCTTTCTGCAGAGATGAGATGCTATGTTTCTCATGTGTTTCTGTCACTCATGGCTCCCATTTTTGTTGCTCATCACTTTTCCATCAGATTTGTCTAGATGATCTTGAGTCTGCTATATAACAGGTACTAAGATTCTAGTACAGTGTATAGTTTTATGTAGGAACTATATATTCATAGTATACTTGTTGAAGGTTTCCCACACTAATGGGAAGTAACTTAAGTACCCAGTATACATTTTAAGTAAAATATTTGGAAAGCTTATAAATGATTTACCACATTCTTTTTCTGTTACAAAGTGCCTGACACCAAAGGGCCCTATACATGTGTATGTGGCCCTCAACTGCCTCTTCAGTAATAATGGTTGTGGAATTTCTCTGTTGTTTCACAGACACCAGTGTTTTCATACTATTACATCTCTGAAATAGTGTAATACATTCTAATTTAACTGGTGTTTTTTCTTCCTTGGAGGTACTTAAAATAATGGTTTGTCTTGTATTTGATGGATGGAATGCAATATTTTAAAAGTTTTTAACTATTCCTGCCAAGACCTGCATTCATGAAAGAAGGCACCACGGGAGATGGCCCACTGACCCATCCAGCAGCAAGGAGTGAATGTGGAATTGGGGCAGAGCGCAAATGCTTCCTCTTTATATGCACAGTGACTTCGTCCTGTGGAACGTGAGCAGATTAGGAACTCCCAGTGGATTTCCAGGGGCTAAGCCAGGGGTTGACCCCTCCTGGCACCTACAGGTGAGAGATTCTCCAAGGTTCTCACCCCCTCCCTCTGGCCCCAGTCATCCTAGTGTTACTGAGATGGTGGTTCATTGGTTGGCCTCTCAAACAGGCCTCCAGAGCAATATTCCGAGGCCATGGAGTGACACTCTCTTCTTTATTCCACTGCAGTGACTGGTAATGTTTCTATCCTGGTGACTGGTAATGTTTGTATCCTGCAGAAGTGTGTAAAATGATACTGACCTGGACATACCTTTTAAGTTTAATGCTCTATCATGCAGTAGTCCCCCTGTTTATAAACCCCTGAGAAGTTCTATACACAAGAAAATGTGTACACAGGGAGTTTCACCACAGCAAGATTTTGAGGTATCTTAGGTACCATCACTAGAAGAGGTGGGTAAAAGGTGGATCATGCATCGGGGTGGTGTCTAGCAGTCAGAAGTGTGTGTTGTACTTGCATGTAGCACATCAAATTAGCACTTCTAGATATGAATGGAAAAAATGGATGGAATGAAATTTCATACAAGTAAACAATGCTTATATCAATTAAAGTTACACCATTACAGAAGTTACAATGGTGAGTGCTAAAGGTCCTGCCTTTTATCAGTGAGAGCCTGTGGGGGAAGGGATGGAACTGGGGTTTGGCATGAAGAAAGAATGGGGTCCACACAGAAACCAACATTGATAACCTATATTTTGAGCTGAGTAGTACAGTTAACATTGTGCTCAGGACTCCTCCAAAAATACTGAAGACATTAACACAGGAAAATTAAAGACCCACACTTACAATCCTCAATAATGTTTTATTCTGTTCAGTTTTAACCAGAATTTTATGGCTCAGTTGCCTAAATGACACCTGTGCCTTTTCTGGCAGAGCTGCCCAGCCAACATCCCCCTACACCTCAGGTCAGCAGCCAGTGGGTGACAACTGGTGCCCCAGGTACAGGCTGCTGGGGCAGGCAAGAATCAGACTTTATTCCCATAGAACTGGGCTGTGCATCTCACCTATTGACCAGTCTGTAAGATGGGAACAGGGCTTCCCTTTGTTTCCTGGGCTCAGAGCAGTCTTCCCAGAGGGCTGGTGCCAAAGGCATTTAAAGGCACAAGTACGGGGGGCAGCAACCTGGGGCAGGAGAACAGTCAAAGTGAGCAGCAGACATACTGAGAAGCTGGGGAAGGAAGAGGTTGGAAAACTTACTCGTGTGTGGGGATGAGAGCTTTTTAAAAGCTTGCGTGTGCACACTGTATGTGCACAGGATGGGACGTGACTCAGAAAAGATACGTAAAGTCTCTATGCACTCACCTAGCAACTCTGTGTAAGCTGGAAGTGAAGACTAAGGCAGAGTGGAACCAGCATGGTCAAGCACTAAAGTCGTACCCAACAGAGCCAGCCTGCAGAACTAGGGGAGTGCCATCACATTGCCTCATGTTTGACTCATATTTGACCTCTGACACATTCCCATTGTTGAGTGCTTCCTTCAGTTTTGACCAAGGAGGCCCAGGCTCACCTTGCACACACTGGGTGTGACCTAGACTCAGCTCTTTCTCCAAGGAGTCCTGGTTCCTTGTAGGGGCCAGTGTTGGGAACTGACTTTGCTCACCACTCTGGGGGGTGTTACTTAGTGGATAGAGCTATGAAATATGTAATTTTTAAAAATGAATAATATTTTTCAATGCATATTTATCATCATAGGGAGGTCATATGAATTCCTTGATTTCTATGGTTATCTCTTAAACTGGAAGTTTTGATTCCTAGTAACTTTTATAATTTATTTTAGCTTTCTCCTACAATGTACACAAAATAGATTCAAATAAACAGCAATATTATCAGGAAGAAAACTGATGAGTGATTTTATAATTTTTGGCTGGCATTTTTGTCCTTAAACACTTTCCATTAAGGATGTATGATCATAACATGAAGTGCAAAGTTTCTTCAAAGAATTACTTTTGTGTGGTCAAGTTGCCAATTTGATATTAAGTTGATTTCAATTTCAGAATCTTCTATTTTTACTTTTGAATATGTAAATCACTCATTTGTTCAAAGTTCAAAAATTCATAAAAAGGTAAAATCAAAGAAACCTTGCTTCCACCCCATCTCCACAAATAACATTCTTGGAGAGCCTCTCTCCTAATGTGTTCTCTGCTGTACATAAGCTCAAGTTTTCTCCCATGAATTCACAAAGGTATGACACATTATGACTCTACACAGGAGGATTTTTCACATCTGCTGCCATTCAGGATATATCTTGTGTGTGAATCACTTCATATTTAGAGTTGACTTCTTGCAGAAGGATTTCCCATGTTTGTTATATTCATAAGGCTTCTCCCCTGTGGTGTTTGCTGGTGTACTCTGAGGGTTGACTTCATACAGAAGGACTTCCCGCATCTCTTACATTCATAGGGCTTCTCCCCTGTGTGGATTCTCTGATGATTGATGAGGTCTGACTTCACATAAAACCTTTGCCCACATTCATTACATTTGAAGGGGTTCTTCCCTATGTGAGTTCTCTGATGCACAGTGAAGTAATGATTTCATGCAGAAAGGTTTCTCACATTCACTACATTTATAAGCCTTCTCTTCTGTGTGAGCCCTCATGGTTAGGGCTGACTTAAAACAGAAAAATTTTACACATTTACTACACCCATGGGGTTTCTCTCCAGTGTGCCCTGATGTTCAATGAGATGTGATTTCGGGAGAAAATTTTTCCCACACTGTTTACATTGATAAGGTTTCTTCCTGTGGTGGTCACTGATGTTAAGTGTGGTGTGACTTATGAAAGAAGGTTTTACTACCATTCTTTACATTTTTAAGGTTTCTCCCGTATGTATTCTCTGGTGCTGAGGGTTGACTTCCCACATTTATTACATTCGAAGTATTTCTCTTCTGACTTGACTTCATAGAAAAGGCTTTCCCACATACTTTACACACATGGGATTTCTTTCCTGTGTGATTTCTCTGATGAATATTAAGAAGCAACTTCACATAGAATGACTTCTCGCATTCATTGCATTTAAAGGATTTCTCCCCAGTGTGAGTCCGCTGGTGTATAATGAGGGTTGACTTCATACAGAAGGCTTTCCCACATTCATTACATTTGTGTGGCTTCTCCCCTGTGTGTTTTCTGATGTTTTGTGAGGTCTGACTTTTTGTAGAAGGAGTTCTCACATTCACTGCACCCATGGGGTCTCTCCCCAGTATGAGTTCTTTGATGGACAGTGGGAGTCAAATTCATAGAGAAGGATTTGCCACACTCGTTACATTCATATGGTTTCAACCCTGAGTGAATTTTATGATGTTTAATGAGATTAGACTTCACACAGAAGGTTTTTCCACATTCATTAGTCATAGGGTTACTTTGCTGTATGAGAGACTTGATGAATAATTAGGGCTGACTTAGAGCAGAAGGATGTCCCATATTCAGTACATTTATAGGGTTTCTTCCGTGGTTTCTTCTGTTCTCTGGTTTCTTCTTCACCTCTGGTGGAGGTGCAATGCTGACTTACATCGAACAGAAGGATTTTCCACATTCATCACATTTGCAGGGCTTCTCCCCTGTGTGTGTTCTCTGGTGATCAGCAAATTGTGACCTCTGTGAGTAAGTTTTCCCATGTCATTGCATTTGAAAGGTTTCTCCCCTGTAAGCATCTTCTGAAGTTTAGTTAGATTTGATTTCACACAGAAAGATTTCCCACAATCCTTACACTCATGTTTTCTCCCCTGTGGGAATGCTCTGGTGATAGTTGAAGTTTGATTTTTGTGTAGGACTTCCCACAGTCCTTACACTGGTAGGGCTCCTCTCATGTGTGAGTACTCTGGCTCAGTTTTAGGGCTGAGATCTGATGGAAGGATTTCTTGCACTCATCACATACATAGAGCTTCTTTTGCTGCTTGGTAATGGCTGACTTCCCAGGGGCTTTGTCACATTCACAGGTTTTCTTTCTTACATCAGTTCTTTGCTGGATGGTGTTTTGTGCTTTCTGGAAGCTTTTCCCACATTTATTATTGTCACATGGCTCCTCTTCTTGTGTGTGTTTTCTGATGTTCAGTGAGGTGGGACTCCTGGTAAAAAGATTTCTTGCAGTGACTACATTCAAATATTTTCTCTCTTTGAGTTTTATGAGGTTAAGTAAGATGGGACTTCTTGCTGAAATTATTCTCAAATTTCCAAGAAATTCGTGGGTTTTCTTTACATTAATTTCCTGATGTTGAAAGAGGGTTGATGTCTCATGCGCATTAACTTCAGAGTGATTCTCCCATGTGCATTTCCTGCTGGATTTTGAGAGCTGACTTGTCACTAGTGTCTTGCCCCTCCCTGTTCCTCATAATCCTTGGTCCTCTCTTCTGTTTGAGTTTTCTGTGGTGGGACGGTGACTGTCTCACTGGAGGTGGCTACTCTGCATTCATGACCTTCCACAGGTGGTCCCAAAAGCTGAATCTTCTGTTGCCCACAAAGGTCCTCATTATGACTCGGGGGTCTCCCATCTTGGTTATGGTTGTCAGATTGCTTACCAGGCTGAGTATCCTCTTAATTATTATCAAGAAGCAACTTCCAACATGTATTAATTTCATCAGAGTTCTTATCTGAAACATTTTTATCATGCCAGGCTTCCCTGTCCATCACCAACTCCCAGAGGTTACTCAAACTCGTGTCCATAGAACCATCCAACCACCTCATGCTCTTTGTTCCCTTCTCCTCCTGCCCTCAATCTTTCCCAGCATCATGGTCTTTTCAAATGAGTCAGTTTTTCGCATCAGGTGGCCAAAGGATGGGAGCTTCAGCTTCAGCATTAGTCCTTCCAATGAATATTCAGGACTGATTTCCTTTAGGATTGATTGGATGGATCTCCTTGCAGTCCAAGGGACTCTCAAGAGTCTTCTCCAACACCACAGTTCAAAAGCATCAATTCTTTGGCATTCAAGCTTTTTTAATAGTCCAACTCTCACATCCATACATGACTACTGAAAAAACCATAGCTTTGACTAGATGGACTTCTGTTGACAAAGAAATGTCTCTGCTTTAATTTGATATGCTGTCTAGGTTGGTCATAGCTTTTCTTCCAAGGAGCAAGTGTCTTTTAATTTCATGGCTGCAGTCACCATCTGCAGTGATTTTGGAACCCAAAAAATTAAAGTCTCACACTGTTTTCCCATCTATTTGCCATGAAGTGATGGGACCAGATGCCATGATCTTAGTTTTCTGAATATTGAGTTTTAAGCCAACTTGTTCATTCTCCTCTTTCACTTTCATCAAGAGGCTCTTTAGTTCTTCTTTGCTTTCTGCCATAAGGGTGGTGTCATCTACATATATGAGGTTATTGGTATTTCTCCAGGCAATCTTGATTCCAGCTTGTGCTTCATCCACCCCAGCATTTCACATGATGTACTCTGCATACAAGTTAAATAAGCAGGGTGACAATATACAGCCTTGACGTACTCCTTTCCCGATTTGGAACCAGTCTGTTGTTCTATGTCCAGTTCTAACTGTTGCTTCTTGACCTGCATACAGATTTCTCAGGAGGCAGGTCAGGTGGTCTAGTATTCCCATCTCTTTAAGAATTTTCCAGTTTGTTGTGATCCACACAGTCAAAGGCTTTGGTGTACTCAATAAAACAGATGTTTTTCTGGAACTTTCTTGCTTTTTTGATAATCCAGTGGATGTTGGCAATTTGATCTCTGGTTCCTCTGCCTTTTCTAAATCCAGCTTGAACATCTGGAAGTTCACAGTTCACATATTGTTGACACCTGGCTTGCAGCATTTTGAGCATTACTTTGCTAGCGTGTGAGATGAGTGCAGTTGTGTGATCATTTGAACATTCTTTGTCATTGCCTTTCTTTGGGATTGGAATGAAAACTGACCTTTCCCAGTCCTGTGGCCACTGCTGAGTTTTCCAAATTTGCTGGCATATTATGTGCAGCACCTTCACAGCATCATCTTTTAGGATGTGAAATAGCCCAACTGGAATTCCATCCCCTCCACTAGCTTTTTCATAGTGATGCTTCCTAAGGCCCACTTCGCATTCCAGGATGTCTCACTCTAGATGAATGATCACACCACTGTGGTTATCTGGGTCATGAAGATCTTTTTTGTATAGTTCTTCTGTGTATTCTTGCCGCCTCTTAACATCTTCTGTTTCTTTTAGGTCCATACCATTTCTGTCTTTTATTGTGTCCATTTTTGCATGAGATGTTCCCTTGATATCTCTGATTTTCTTGAAGAGACCTCTAGTCTTTTCTGTTCTATTTTTTCCTCATTTCTTTGCATTGATCACTGAGGAAGGCTTTCTTACCTTTCCTTGCTATTCTTTGGAACTCTGCATTCAAACAGGTATATCTTCCCTTTTCTCCTTTGCCTTTTGCTTCTCTTCTTTTCTCAGCTATTTGTAAGGCCGCCTCATTTTGCATTTTTTGCATTTCTTTTTCTCGGGGATGATCTTGATCCCTGCCTCCTGTACAATGTCATGAACCTCCATCCATAGTTCATCAGGCACTCTTGTCTATCAGATCTAATCCCTTGAATCTATTTGTCACTTCCACTGTATAATCATAAGGGATTTGATTTAGGTCATACCTGAATGGGCTAGTGGTTTTCCCTACTTTTTCAATTTAAGTCTGAATTTGGCAATAAGGAGTTCGTGACCTGAGCCACAGTCAGCTCCCGGTCTTGTCTTTGCTGACTATATAGATCTTCTTCATCTTTGGCTGCTAAGAATATAATCAGTCTGATTTTGGTATTCACCATCTGGTGATGTGTAGTCTTCTCTTGTATTGTTGGAAGAGGGTGTTTGCTACGACCAATGCGTTCTCTTCACAAAATTCTGTTAGCCTTTGCCCTGCTTCATTCTGTATTCTAAAGCCAAATTTGCCTGTTATTCCAGGTATCTCTTGACTTCCTACTTTTGCATTCCAGTCCCCTATAATGAAAAGGACATCTTTTTTTGGTTGGTTCTGAAAGGGCTTGTAGGTCTTCATAGAACCGTTCAACTTCAGCTTCTTCAGCATTATTGGTTGGGGCATAGACTTCGATTAATGTGATATTGGATGGTTTGCCTTGGAAGCGAACAGAGATCATTCTGTCCACCCAGGGATGGTGGGATGAGATTTAGCACTTCCCTGTAGCTCAAATGGTAAAGAATCTGCCTGCAATGCAGGAGATTAGGGTTCAATCCCTGGGTTGGGAAGATCCTCTGGAGAAGGTTATAGCAATCTACTCCAGAATTCTTGCCTGGAGAATCCCATGGACAGAGGAGCCTGGCAGGCTACAGTCGGTGGGGTTACAAAGAGCCGGACCCGACTTAATGGCCTTTGTCTATAAGGTCATAAATGAGAAAAGTTAGGTGTATTTGAAAAAACCTAACACATTTCTTATGTAAATATAATTTATTACATCAGTGATTCTCACTTTTTAGTCCCAAGCTCCTAGGATGAAATCCTGAGCATATATTTTATCTTTTGATCAGAAAAAGGAAAAATAGATAACATCTGCTATATTGGAAAAGGGAGCATAAAACTATAATGAACACACATAGATTTGCTGTTTTAAAAAGAAGACCATCAGAACTTAAAAGAAGAAAGTAAAGCTGAGGGAAACACACAGATAACTGGGTGATTACCCCAACAAAAACCATGAATAGGAAGTAGAACAAGGAATATGAGTGTACATGGATGTCAGAAAACATAGCAGAGGAAATCTTAGGTATGGGATAAAACATTGTATGTATTCAGATACAGCCCACTTACCTATAAGCCAATGGGAAAATAAGACATAGTACTTGTTCAAGATATCCTTACAAAAATACATGACAAAACAGTTTTAAAAATATTCACTCCCAATTAATTACAAGTCACAGTCTGACAGGTTTTTACACTCAGCAGTCTGCTTTTCAGCTTTGCTTCCACAAAAATTTATTAGTCCTCCAGGAAATGTATCTCCCTTTCCCTCCTCCTCTGCTTCTGTCTCTGCCCCCTCCTTTTCTCACATACTTATTTCAAATAATGCCTCTTAAACCCCATTTTCTCCAACACTGAAGTAGTTACTGCCTATATTTTATTAACACACTATGGAAAGGACTAACTTTATCCAATAGTACTTGATAACTCAATATATATCATATGATTTTGTTCCTCTCTCCCAACTACATCCTATGCTCCTAGCAGGTTTCATTGTATCTCTACTTGCCTTTGAGTCCCCCTGAGTAGATATATAGTTGGCAGCTCTTAAATAGTATCAGAATTACCTGGAAATTTTAGAATTTTTATTTCATACTGCAGTATAGTTGACTTGCAATGTGGCATCAGTTTCAGGCAGATAACAAAGTGATTCAGCTATACATAAACACATACCTATTCTTTTTCAGAGTCTTTCTCCATATAGGTTTTTACAGAGTATTGAGCAGAGATCCCTGTACTATATAGTAGGTCCTTGTTGGTTATCTATTTTACATACAGTCCTGTGTGTATATTAATCCCAACCTCCTAAATTATCCCTCCCTGGCCCCAGAATTATCTGGAAATTTTTATTCAAAACATGGAGGATAAACTGTCATAGGTCAGTGTCAATATATATGCGTTATGAATCAGAATTTGCAAGTAAGTGATGTAGGCCTATGTACTTAGGAAATGCTTTCTGAACAGTCGGTCAAACCTATGAGTATTAATAGATGAGCATATCTGTTATGTATTACCCATCAAACGAAAGAAAAGTAAAAAAATTAAAAAAAAAGAGGCCCCACAAGCTCTCCAGTGCATGGTGAGGTCTGAGTCCTTGTGGCTCAGCCGCTAACTGAAATGTGAATTCTAAGAGGGGAGAGAGTACAAAGCACTTCAAAACAGGTGTGAACCTGAGCTCAAACATCAACTAGTGTAAAACACAGAAGTGTTAACTACACACCACGCACAGTCCTAAACTCTTTCTTCAGGGTCTGGAAAGGCAAACCTCAAAAACAGGTGCAGGTGTGGGTAAGACATACGTATGAGCAGTATGTAGGAGGTAGATCAAATGGAACTTAACTGTAAGTGTCTGGGCAACATCAACAAAAAAGGATGAATATGGCTTGAAGTGTTTAAGAAGAGGAGTCTTAAGTAATAGAGGGCAGTCCTAGGTCTATATAAGGCCAACAACAAGACAAAACAGATGCTTTAGATTTTAAAATATATACTTACAATTAGGAATGAAATAAGGCCTCAGAGAATAAGGTTCTAGTTTTGAGTGAGGTCACTGGAAGGTAAGAATAAAAGGTAGAGAAGACAGTTTTCAAAAGAAAATTAAAAAGTAAGAGAAACTAGGGAGAGATCAGTACTACGTGTGCTTTTTGTGGTCGTCAGATACAGGAGAAGAAAAGTGTTAGAATCTAAGTGGAAACAAGGAATGTGAGATTTACATTTTGGAAGAAAAGATTTCAGGGTTAGACTCTTCCATACTGACAAAGAACTGTAACACCTCAGGTAAAATGCAGCGTAGAGGGCAGATAAGGCTGAGATAGAGGGGGTGGAATTTTTCAGTCACTGGGTAAAGCAAAAAGCTTAACTCTGAGTAACAGATGAGTACTGAGGAAGCATTAAAGGGAAGAGACATTGGAAGCCTAGTTGTTAACAAACTTCCCAGGAGACAGAGTGATCGAATGATCAGAACTGTTTGCTTAAACATCTTAATAACAATATCATAATTTTCGGCAAATGCTATTTCACTGTCATACTTTTTCTCTTTCTGATTACCAATGAAGTTGTAGATATTCTTATCTGTCATTTGTGTTTTTTCCCATTTGTGTCTCCTTTCCATGTATGTCTTTTGTTCACTTCTCTCTTGGGTTGTTGGACTTTTTCTTATGAATGGTAGGAATTTATTATTTGACAAACTTTTATTAAATGCTGAATGCACTGTATGAGATAGTGGAAACAGACATGAAAGAAAAAAGACCCTGTTCCCATGAAGTTTACATCCTAGTGGAAGTAAAGAGAAATTAAGTAGAATAATGTAAAATGCCTTGTTTAAATTTCTATTTGAGAAAAGTGTGTAAGCTCCAGGAGCTCAGGGAAAGTGCTGGTTTATCAGTGTATCTTCAACTCCAAGAGCATGGGTGGCACAGGATAGGAATATTGGCAGAATGAATAAATGAATGCCGGGGCAGGTGCAGGAACTGAAAAGAAAATAGTCCATGAAAATGGAGGGAAATGAATACTAGAGAAGGAGAAACCAAGAACAAAGGTCTAAGAAGAGGCAGGCAGGCGGTCAATGCTGGGAACAAGAATGGTCACCTTCCTTAAAAGTCAGGCAGGAAAGGAAAGCATTGGTGTTTTAAGAGTGGTGGAAAGAAGTGCAGTTCGGGTTACCTGAGGCAGGCTGGCTTGCCATTCAGTTACTTTTAAAGGTCTGAGGCCCCTGAAGAGTATTACTGACACAGAGGTCAAAGTTCCCAGCTTCTGAACCATTCTGCCTGCTCCACATTTCCAGTGGCTTCTTTTTTCCCAACCTGATAATGGTTAACTCACCTGGACCACTCTAGCCTGGGAATTCTCTCTAATGGCCACAGCTCTTCTCCTTGCTCCAGCTTGATGATCACCTCTGGTTTGGCAATGCAGTACCCTGTGAGTAAGACATGGGGTAAGACTTCTGACAAGCTTCTTGGACATCAGAGCCCCTGAAGGATGAGGAAGGTGCAGGTTCAGGAGTCATGTGATAAAGGTGCCCATTTGAACCTTTCTTTTGGAAGGTGACAACAGAAAGCTTTCTGTGCCCAAGCAAACACTTCTGACCCATAAGATGAACACACTAGTATCATAAAGCTTCACCAAGGGCTCATAAGTTTCGGCAGCTAATGAAAGAAAAATAGTGAGGCATTACACAGAGAAGACTTCTCACCCACAGAGACCAGGTGGCTATAGTTCTCCAGCATCACATCCCAGTATAGGGTCCTCTGATACTGGTCAGTTGTCACCACTCATCCCCGGTGAAGTCCACAGTCATGTCCTTGAATGACATGGGTCCTTGGCCAGCACACTTCTATTTAAACCAAAGACATCAGTACTGAGTGACATGAAAGATATGCAAAATAATTCTTAACATGTTTAAGTTTAGCATAAATATTATACAGGCTGCCAATCTACACACTGTTGTGTGGTTTACTTTATAGACTGAAGTGGTATTGTGACAGGAAAATCCAGATGGTGTATTAACTTATTAATTCCCACAAAAACTCTGAAGTTCCTACCATGCATCTGAAATTGTCCCAGCTTGCCAAGACTGCTGAGTTAAATCAGTCCTTTTTGTCTGGCCCTCAAGGAGCTTAAAGCAGACAAATTATATCTACGAATACTCTTCCTGTAGTAAGGTATTATTAGAGCTATGCTAAAAATCAGTGTTACATAATGTAGAAAATATGACTCTATTTTGTGTTGTCCGGCCAGGCTTCACTGAATGGCAGACCTTTATTAATGTGGTACCACTGCATATACAGAGTCAAAGAGGCATGAAAAACGCACAGCAGTATGACAGAAATGGGAACAGGGCAGGGCCCTGAGAAGATGAAAAGCTGCAAAGGTGTTTGGGAACACACTGTGCAGTAATTCTGGACTCATCCCTGGAATTGAGTGTTCTCCAAAATACTTCATCACCACCCTGAGTGTCACGTTTTGAGCACCCCCAATTTATTTTTAATAAGTAATATATTTCTGTTGTTGTTCAGTCACTAAGTCATATCTGACTCTGTCACCCCATGGTCTGTAGCCCACCAGCCTCCTCTGTCCTCCACTATCTCCCGTAATTTGCTCAAATTCATGTCCATTGAATTGGTGATGCTATCTAACCATCTCATCCTCTGCCGCCCCCTTCTCCTTTTGCCTTCTTTCCTAGCATTAGAGTAATATATACATTCTCTTAATCCACACAATAATGATAAGCTTAACTTACCTTTCTTTCATTAAATGTAACCAATCTACTGTCTTCTTCCCAGCGGAGAAGAAAGCACCGGGGTATCTTGTGCCTCCACAGGTGGGAGGTGTGGCCACTGAAGAGAGTGAGGAGCCAGTGAAGACACACACGCAATCTCTGTCGCATCCATAACGTTTACATTAGACAGCAACAGGGAGCTTCCCTGGTGCTCAGTGGTGGACAGTCCACCTGCCAATGCAGAGGACACACGGTTGATCCCTGATCTGGGAGGATCCCACGTGCCATGGAGCAGCTGAGCCCATGCACCACCACTACTGAGTCTATGCTCTAGAGCCCAGAAGCTGCAACTATTGAACCCACGTGCCCTAGAGCCCACGCTCTGAAACAAGAGAAGCCACCATAATGAGAAGCCTGCACACCTCGAGCAGAGTAGCTCCCACTTGCCACAACTAAAGAAAAAGCCTGTGCAGCAACAAAGACCCAGCACAGCCAAAAATAAATGCATGAATAAAATATTAAAAAATATTTTAAAAAAGGAAAGAAATGATGACATCTTAAAGGCAGTATAGCCTAGATGCCACCCAGGATGAGGTGAGGAGCAGGAAGGACAAGATGAACCCCATTCTGGTAGCTTTTTACCTGTTTTTACTAGTCCATCTTAATGTATGAACACACTAATATAACACCAAGAAATCCACTGGAAAACAAAATAGGGAACAGAGAGGAGAAACACTTCACCTGGCATTTGCTCATTTTCTGTTGTTCTTGGAAGACTGTCCAAACCTGGGGAGGCATTCCTGGAAGAGGAAGAGGCAGCAGGATGATGAGAGCTCCTGGGTGACTGTGATCCTGGAGGAGGAGAGGAGGCTAACAGCTGCCCCTGAGTCACTCCCCCCTTACCGCCCTGCCCACTAGCACAGAAACACCTGGGGCAGAATTAGTAAGCAGGTGATAGTGTCTCAAAGTATGGTGCCTTCCTTAAAACTGATACTGCAGGCGAGAACACCTACAGGCTGTTTTGTGTAACTGTTTTACTGCTAAGATATTAACCCCTTGAGTCTGCGAATCCTCATAGTTTTGAAAAAAGGGACAGGGGCCTTGAACTTGGGTGTTTTGTGGGGGGGTTTTGTTTTTAACTGTTTTTTTAACTTGCTGTTACTCAGAAGGATTTTTTTTTTTTTTAAGGAAACACGTTTCTGTGTGATTGTGTGGAAAGCACAAGCCAGGACTTCCATGTGCCTCTTACTGATTCTTCACTAGTCAATGCCCCTTCAAGTTTTTTTTTTTCCTTCTGTCAAATGAGACAAAAACACACAATCCTGGCAAACCCTCCGGGAACTACTGCTACTCTTGATTGAGAGTACTAACAACAGAAAAGCAACAACTTTTCTAAGAACAGGAACAACAGAAAAACACAACTCCAGATGCCGGACATGGTTGCAAAGCTGACCAGCTTCTGGAAAGGAGTAGTGCAGAATGAAGGGAGGGGAGAATCGCCCAGCATCCCACCACACCGGCCACATTTCTCATGCCTTCCGTCCCTATCCCCAGTTCCCTTCTCTCTTCCTCTGAGCGACACGCTCCTTTTCTGGGTTTCTGCTGTTGCTTTCCTGGAGCTTAGATGGGGTTCGGGTCCGAGGGTGGAAGGCAGGGGGGTTTTCCCGGTGAGGTTCCCGGAGCCCCCTCCTTCTGGCCTCGGTAGAGATGCCTTGTTCCAACAGAGCCTAGGAGACTGATTCACTTCAGCGGGAAGCTACCTCGGGGCCTGCCTCTCTCAGAACACACAGCGACCGGAGGCTCCGGGCGCGCCTCCACAACTGCGGGCCGGCCGCGGCTGGAGTGCCCCCCGGCCCCGGACAGCTGCGCCAGACAGCGCAGCGAGAGCTAATAGGCCACAAATCTAAGGCAACTAGGGAAATCGCCTGGCGTGCTGCAGTTCGTGGGGTCCTAGAGTCGGGTATGACTTAGCGACTAAGCAACAAGGGAAACCCGGCATTCAAACCACCACCGCCTCCAGTCTGGATCCCCCTCACTCACACGGATCCGTATTTGGGCCTGAAAGACGCGGGCCGCGAAGGCTCCACGCCGGGCAGCGTCGGAGCTCGTCTCACCTCTCCGGGATGCGGGGGTCGGCCGGGAGTCAGTCGCTCCGGCCTCTGGGCCGCGCTCGGGCCGCCTCGGCGGTTAGGAGGATGGAGACGCCGTAGCCGGCGCGGCCTCTTCCCCGAACGCGGCCCTCAGGGGGTCTCCCGAGTCAAGGACGCGGCCCAGGCGGCAGTGCCTCTGCCCCCGCCCTGCGCCCCTTCTCGCGGCCTCCAGCCGCCCGCACTCACCATGGAGCCAACCTCAACGCGCGACAGCACGGGCACAAGACGGAGACCACAAGTACGCCCCGCCCGGAACCGACGCGCGGCTGCACACAGAGCCCGACGCCGCGAGCCGGGGGCCCTCGGGAGGCTCCGCCCATGTGGGCCGGGCCCGGCCCTCCCCGCGCCCCCTCAACATTCCCCTCACTCGCGCGTCACCAGCACACCGCACCCTGCGTCGCCCCCGCCCCAACGCCTCTGCGTCACCCTTCAGCCGCACCTGGAGATGAGGGGCTTCCTCGCAGCCGCCAGCCAGCGAGGGAGAGATTTAACAACACAGATGAAACAGTTAAATTGGCCCAGCCAAGCAATTTTCAAAAACATGAATGAAAAAGAAGGGAGGGGGCAAATTTTAAGACGCAATACACGAAAATCGAAGGTAAATACAAATGCATGCAAATGAAGATAGGGGAAAGAGTATCTCACACATTCTTCCAGAGACGACGGTCCTGAACCGTTAGGCGCGTGTATTTCTGACATTTTTACTAAAGAAAAAATTCTAAAGGATCATGAGGAGTCAGAGAACCGACCTAAGACAGAGGGTATTTAACACTTCCACATGGTAAAGGGGCTTGCAGATTGGGGAGAAGTATTCTATAGACTGTGCTTCTGGGGCTGCAGGAATTGGGTTATCGCTCAGACACGAGCTTATCTAAGGAAATATAAGCACTCAGTTATTAATGTTGAACAGTAATATCCTCTGTGCCAAGAAAAGCTGCTTACTCGGTTCTCTCTCCCTCTCACAAACTTGTTTTCCTGGGAAAATTTCCCAGGCGATTCCAAAGGATTTGAAGGTGAAAGTGAGCGTGTCACTCAGTCATGTCCGACTCTCTGTGACCCCACTAGCCTCCTCTGTCCATGGAATGCTCCAGGCAATTTAAACCAACGCAAAATGGGAATTATAGGGAATTTGGAGAAATTATCATGCAAGCATCCTATTTAACACTGAAATTAGAATTGGCTTGGCTGTCAATAGGATTTTTTTTTACTATTTTTTAAGATAAAAATTCACTTTTAAAGAACAGAAAGAACAGATTTCAGAAAAACTAAGAAATTTTACTTTTACTTGCAAGTCATTTGATTCCTGTACATTTCCCCTTTGTAGGTGGTAATACTGCCTGCTTAGTAAGAAATTCCTTTCTTAAAACTTTTCTCTGAGCCTCCATGTTTGTATTGATAACAGCAGTAAGAAATAACACATTTTGAGCCCTTATCACTAACAGGCCAAGAGCTGTCATAAGAGTTTCTACTTATTTGATTCTGGCAACAAAGCTGGGAGGTAGCCATTCTGTTCAGGCAACAGAGGTACTGTTTTATTGAGGTAGAAGTGACATATAGTGTATTGAATGTGTACAAAGTATACAATTTCATAAGTTTGGGCACATGATATACGTATAAAACCATCACTGCATCAAGGTATCTCAGTTGGAAAGAATCTGCTTGCAATGCAGGAGACCCCGGTTTGATTCCTGGGTCAGGAAGATCCCTTGGAGAAGGGACAGGCTCCCCACTCCAGTATTCTGGCCTGGAGAATTCCATGGACTGTATAGTCCATGGGTTGCAAAGAGTAGGACACATCTGAGCTGCTTTCACTTACCACTTATATCACATCAAGATAATGAACAGATCAGAGTCCCCAAAGTTTCTTCATGCTCCTTTATAATCCATACTTCTTATGTATCCCTAGCCCCCCTCCCACAAATTCCCAAGCAATCATTAATCTTTCAGCTGCTATTGATGAGTCTGCATTTTCTAGAACTTTTGAATTTTACATAAATGGAATCATATGCCTTTTTTAATGGCATCTTGAAGGCAACAGTTATTTTAAGGTTCATCAGTGTTGTTGAATGTATACTATATTCCATTTTTATTCCCAAGGTGTATTCCACCACATGAACAAACTGTTCCTTGTTTACTCATCCACCTGGTACTGGACATTTGGGTGGGTTTCAGTTCATTCATCTTATGTAAATACCTAGGAGTTGAAAAACTGAGTTATATGGTAGATATATATTTAACATTTTAAGAAACTGCCAAACAGACTGTTTTACATTCCCACCATTGATGTATGAGAGTTTAAGTAGCTCCACATGCTTGCCAGTATTGGCTATGTCAGTTTGTTTAGTTAGTCATTTTTATGGGTGTGTAGTAGTATCCTATCATGGCTTAAATTTGTATTTTCCCGGGAACTCCCAGGTGGTCCAGTGGTTAAGATGCCATGCTTCCACTGCAGGCGGGCTCACAGCATTGCAGGAGGGGGTCATAGATTCAGTCCTTGGATGGGGAACAGGGATCCTGCATGCTGCATGGCACAGCCAAAAAAAAAGGAATTGTATTTTCCTAATGATTGGTAATGCTGAGTTCTCTAATTACATTCACATGACTAATTACCATACATATAACTGCTTGAGTGAAGTGTCCAAATCTTCTGCCCATTTTTAAAAATTGAGATTCTCTGTTTTCCTATTATTGACGTTTGAGTTCTTTTTTTTTAAGTTGAAATGCATAATTGAATTATTAGAGATAATCAGTAAACCTTTATATCCACTACTGAAATATACACAGTCAGCAGAATTCAGTGCTTACAGGCTGTAAGTATAATGCAAAGAGTAAAGAACAGCTGCTAAGTTAATTGAATATTTCCATTTTTATTAATTGCAATCATTTAAATTGAAAAGGACTGTATAATACATTTAATTAGTTTATATACTTATGAACTGAAATATTTATTTTCATTCTGCTGTCAGATTATTTTTATTGTTGGGACTTTTTATTTAATTGAACTATGT